GAGGGCCTTCTCTGTGGGAGCTCCCACCCTCTGGAATGAACTGCCCCCAGAGATCAGGGTGATCCCTGATCTCCCTTCCTTCCGCCGCGCCCTTAAGACATGGTTATTCCAGCTTGCGGGACTGGCCTAGGGGAAACTTTTAGAGGGGGTTTTAATTATAATTTTAATTAGACCAAATTACAAATATTTCCCTTTTAATCAATTTTTAAACTTGTAGTGTGTTATTTTTGTATTTTTACCCGGTTGTTAGCCGCCCTGAGTCCGCAAGGAGAAGGGCGGGATATAAATTTAAATAAATAAATTATTATTATTATTATTATTATTATTATTATTATTATTATTATTATATTTACCCACACAGTAGGGCTGTGTTACTATTATCCTTCTCATCTTTTCTACTATTGCCTCCCTTTGGTATCTCATGATTATATTACCTTGTTGTTTGTACGTACACTGTTGTTTGTACGTACACTTATGCACCGGAGACAAACTCCTTATGCGTCCAATCACACTTGGCCAATAAAATATTGTATTTTATTTAAAGACTCCAGCCTTTCTCCATTGTGGCAGGTAATAGTAGGTCATTTGCAATGAAAGACACGATCCTCTTGTCTTTCCAATCAAACATTGTTCAAAGCTTCTCAATGAACTTTTAGTTCTGAATATAACTCTTGAGTACAAACCGGTTTAATAGAGCATTACACCTAATTCCTGAAGCCCATCAATTCCTCTTCTCTGCCCATCCACCAACTAAATCAAGGCCCTTTGAAACGTGGGTGTTAGCAGCAGGAGAATTGAAAATGAGCTTTTCAAAAGTTATCTCCATCTCAACAACAATTCTCTTCTGGGAAACCAGGCTAGGGTACAGGGTAAAAGCTGCCCAGAGCCGCTGTTACAGTGAGAGGGGCGGCACATAAATTGAATGAGTAAATAAATAGCACACCATTGTGGACTCAGGGAGAGAGTGGAGAACAGGAGGGGCCTGGCGTGCTGTGGTCCATGGGGTCGCGAAGAGTTGGACCTGACCACTGTAAGGAAGCTTATTGAGACAGCGTCCACATGACCTGCCCGTTCACCGTACCTTTTCGATGTCCACCAGCTCAGTCTCATAGATCTCAGCTATGGTTATATGGTGCTTGGCTGCAATGGTGAAACGCCCCTGAAAAAAAAAGCCCAGAGAAATAGAATGAATTAGAAACCAACTTTTGGAGACAGCTGGGTATCTCCCACCCAAGGCAGTGCTAATCCATGGGTAATCATCCTCAACTATGTTGAAATCAGGCAATTATCCTGAACCTGCAGATTCTATAAAGGTCATAAAATTAGGCATGATTTATTTAACAATCACCAGAATTTCTGGTCCCAACTGCGGTCGTAATTATCTATACTTTACTGAAAATTCTGTAGCAAGTAGCACAATCTATCAGATCAGCCGGTGAAAGTGCCACCTACCTATAATGGGGGTGTTTATTTCATCTATGGGCAATTCCGATGCACAAACTTTTATCAGCATTATTACAGCACTGTGCAATTTGTGTGCTAGCCAGACAATCCCCCCCCCACCCCCACATACCATTTGTGGTTCCTTGTTTGGGAGCCATGTCTAAAAAACACCGTGTGATTTGTGAAAAGCCATCCTCTATGTGGGTTTGCCAAGTAAATGTTTTTTTCAGGCATAAAATATTCCTTGTTTTTAATTGAGAAGGGGACTTCTGAATTATATAAGCAGCTTACCATGTCTGTGTAGATCTCAATAGCTCTAAGGAGACAATTAATGGCCTCTATTAAAAATCAAACAAACAAACAAAGTAAGCCATTTTAAATACAGTAACACAAAGAAACAAAGGCATTCATTCATCAACGCAGCTCCAGCTAAACCTCCCTGAAAGGAACAGAAGGCAGGAATATTTATAGCATATTTCTTTTCCTGGATGAGATCAGCAAGTACTTAAGGAAAAACCACCAGGTCCTTCTTGGAACCAGGACAGACTATCTCAAGAACGGATGGGACTTTTCTACATGGTTTGGCATTCTTCCAAAAGTGAGAATAGGGCAAACAAATGGGCACCATACTGGAGTTAGTTAGTGACAGACCTAACTGCCAAGGATAAGCAACCTTTGGAAGGGTTCCAATGCTGCCATCATGTGGCTGCTTGAAGAACTGCAACACTTAACAACTCTAAAAAGACCTCGACTTACAACAGTTCATTTAGTGACCGTTCAAAGTTACAACGGCACTGGAAAAAGCGACTTATGACCGTTTTTCACAGTTACAACCTCTGCAGCATCCCCACGATCATGGGATCAAAATTTAGATGCTTGGCAACTGACTCGTACTTATGACCGTTGCTGTCTCCCGGGGTCACGCGATCCCCTTTTGCGAACTTCTGACAAGCAAAGTCAATGGGGAAGCCAGATCCACTTAACAACCGGGTTACTAACTTATCAACGGCAGTGAATCCCTTAATATCTGCGGCAAGGAAGCGTGTAAAATGGGGCAAAACTCACTTAACAACAGAAATTTGGAGCTCAATTGTGGTTGTAAGTCAAAGACTATCAAACTTATCGTTATTTATTTCCAGGGTTAGCAGTGAAGCAAGGAGTCAGGCCCCACGTGAATTATACATATATTTCATTCCGTCATAGAGGAGCACCTTGTAACTGGGAAGAGGAAAAACAGCCTGGAAAAATAAAAGTGTTGCGCCTAGTGCTAAAAAATCAAAGCGAGCAGCACCACAGAAGGAATACTTCTAATAGACCCCCACTGCTCCTCTTGGGGAACACCGGGAGAGCTTCAAAAGACTTAATTTCCTGTTATAGAGACTGGCTGTCATGGTTCCGACCGATGAAACTCTTCAAAGAACTTCGAGGCATTGTTTACCTTAAAGAATCTTGATGGGAGTAGCATAGCTTCGGCACTAACATAGTTGAAGCCCAAAACTGGATTCCCCTCCCCTGAGCACATAGCATCAAAGCACAATTCCCTCCTTCAATTAACAGTCATAAATCACATTCCCCAATTAGTTTGAAATGCAGGCTTTCCTTCCTGTTCTGCTACCCGCCAATCCTTATCATCTCTTATTTCACACAGCTACTACAATATTGTTATGTCTAACTAACTCCCACCACATTCCACTTCCTCCCCCAGCATCATCTAATTCTAAGAATAAAGCATAAGAAAGAAAAAGGCTGCATCTTCATATGTTGTCAAAGCAAGAACATCCAATGTTAGCACCGTTGACATCGGAATAATAATAATAATAATAATAATAATAATAGTAGTAGTAGTAGTAGTAGTAGTAGTAGTAGTAGTAGTAATAATAATAATAATAATGATGATGATGTTGGAAGGGACCTTGGAGGTCATCTAGTCCAACCCCCTGCTGAGGCAGGAAACCCTATACCATTTTGGACAAATGGCTGTCCAGTCTCTTCTTAAAAACTTCCAGTGTTGGAGCATTCATCGCTTCTGGAGGCAGGTTGTTCCAGTCGCTAATTGTTCTAACTGTCAAGAAGTTTCTCCTTAGTTCTAGGTTGCTTCTCTCCTTGATGAGTTTCCATCCATTGCTTTTTGTCCTGCCTTCAGGCGGAGAATAGCTTGACTCCCTCTTCTTTGTGGCAGCCCCTGAGATATTGGAAGACTGCTATCATGTCCCCCCTGGTCCTTCTCTTCATTAAACTAGACAGACCCAATTCCAGCAACCGTTCCTTATATGTTTTAGCCTCCAGTCTCCTAATCCTCTTTGTTGCTCTTCTCTGTACTCTTTCTAGAGTCTCAACATTATTCCGAGTATTTTTTTTTATCAAGCTAGAAGCAGCAGCAGGTCTCCATGTCCGACCATCTCCTGCGCAAGAGGGAGATTTTTCAATGCCTCAAGGGAGTCCTCAAGCCCCTCCTGGCCTGTGCCTAACTTCAATGCACTGTTTTAACAAGAGAAAGAACTGACTGCTAAAGGCTTCCCGTAACCAGATTTCCCCTTCAAGATCAGAGCTCTGTCCCATCTCCAAGACAACACGACTCCCTCCGAATTTGTTTTTCTTTGGAACCCCTGTTCTGGGTGGACAAGGACCATCCCTCCAGGGGTACAGATTTGTAACCGACTGTTTGGCTCCAAAGCAGCAGAATGCTTTCCTTTTCCAAGCCCCAATCCCAGGAAAAGCCTTGCTTACTATTTAAAAAAAAAAAAAAAAAAAGGCAACCCAACAGCGTCAAGCATCACATTAAAATCCTTGGGGAAACTCGGTACACAGCCTGGATCATCTCTTATTTCATCTCCCTCTTAGGGCCGGTAATCAGCTTCCAAGTCTCCAAAAGATTAAACAAATCCCTGGCGAGGATTAGATGCGTTTTCTCCTCAAGTAACATTTTCATCTTTCTGAACTGTGGTTTGAGCTACCGAAGGCAGCGCTCTTGATTCGATTGCCCACCATTTTCTCGTCATCAAGTACGAGCAACAAGGGGCAAAAAGGATTCCTCCTCTTCCCAGAAATAAGACTCAAAAGGAAGAAGCCCGGCCTAGACAAATTGTGGGTCAGTTGGTAGATCTTGCCGGGTGTTGAACTCAAGAGAGACAAAGAAAAAATAAAAAAAGAGAGAGGTAAAATCTTCCTTATAATCCTCTCCTAATCACAAAGACCCTGGAGAGGAAGAGCAAATTCATAATGCAAAGCTCAGATTTACGCTAAGGTAGACAAAAAGCTGGCTTCTCGGCCACCCAAGCTTTCCTAAGCTTAACCAGTAAGGCATTAAAATGAAGTGTGCACTCATGGATTAGAACTAGGCCTTCTGCAACAAGCGGAGAGTGGTTAAACTGCAACACTGCACCCTAAAGGGCGATATCTCTGTGTATCCTGTTAGGAGGTGAGCTGGCGAGATTTTGCTCTTCGACATTCTAGCAACACGCAGCTTTATGGCCCGTTTAAAGGCAGAACAAGTTGGTTAAGCATTAAGAGGCAAACTGCAGTCCACTAATGACATTGGATTAATAAAGCAGATACTCAGAAGGAGAGAATATTTGTAACTTAGGGCTGAACTGTGGGGTCCTTGGTGCTCTCTGAGCTTGGTGGCTTTCTTGCAGATGTTTCATGACCCAAATAGGTAACGTCTTCAGTGATAGAAGGTTTGTGGGGAGGAGGAGGGGGAAGGGAAGAGGGAAGGGGAGGTGGAGGAGGATTATGGGGTCCTTGGTGCTCTCTGAGCTTGGTGGTTTTCTTGCAGACATTTCATGACCCAGCTAGGGAACATCATTAGTACTACGTGATTATGCTACTACTGATGATATTACCTATTTAGGTCATGAAATGTCTGCAACAAAAAAACAGGATGAGAGAGTACCAAGGATCCTGGATACTCAAAATCTTTTCAACCCTATGATGTATTTCAACAGAATCTCTAATTGCTCGTTTTCTCATTTGAGCTGAACCAGGAAACTATATTCACAGTCTCTCAAGAGAAGCCAGGGCCTTGAAGCTATTTCCATAGGCCAAGGAGATGACCAAAAAAGGAGAAGGTGCTGCATATCTGGACTGTAGGATCATGTGTGACTTGGCCCCTAAAGCAGTTGCTTAGTTCAGTTCCTCTCTTCCCCCCTCCTAGTCATGCTCAAAATGACCAAAAGCCTATGTTGACTTATTTTTTTTGGAATGAAATATATATATATATATTTGTTGACGCCTGAGGCATTGTTGGTTACACTGCATGATGGAAACTCGTATACTGTAGATTAAACCGGTTTGCATAGCTTTAGTGGAAATGCTGGGAGATATGAACGGATTGCCCCCAGGCCCCAAGGGGTAATCCTATCTCATTCTGCTAAGGCAGCACAAATAGCTCACCCCCTTTCATTTACCTTGAGGATCAGCCTTTTTGAAAGCATTGCCAGCATCCACAAAGCTCATAGCTGCGTCGTGCTTGTTCTGAAGCTGGAGATGGAGCTGAGCAGCCTGACAGAATGCATTGCCAGCAGCTAGGGGAGAAAGAAAAGAGTCACGGGGAATGAAAGGCTAGGGACTTTTTTTAAATAAGTAACTTAAAAGTTCAAAACCAGAACTAAATTCTAAAGAGTTTGTGGTTTATCCTCCTCTGCTAGAAACACAAGGGTAACAGAAGGGAAATGCCTGGAATGTACAATCTTAGTTATCGTTGCTATCAAATCTTGGGAGTCCACACCACTTGGTTGTAGAGTTCTTACTTAAAACAGCAGCACTTCTTTCAGTGTGGCTTTGGGCAGTGGCAATTCTGCAGCCAATGAGGTTAGTGTAAATATTAGTCATGGTTCCATGAAACTAGCCAGAACAGCACTTGCCCAGCCCTTCCTGGTTCCGTAAGATTGTTCAGGTGCTTCCAGCAACTCAGGCTGAGAACATGCCTCTTTATGAGGATGATGTGTGTGTGTTCTACCAGCAGACAAAGTGATGTATGTATATCTTAGCAAGCCAAATATACCACAGTGTGGGATATAGGATCAGGTAGGCTACATACCACTCCAGTTCTTGGCCATTTTGAACATATTAGCCGCTCTGGCATAGATATCGCATGCTTCTTCAATCCTGGAGGAACCACCTCTGTAGAGGAAAAGAACACGGTGCATCAGCAGAGAGCAGGTAGAATCATTTAGTTGCAAAAGAAGTGTAGGAAGGAGATGGCCAGGCTGAGCCTGAGGGAGTCATCAAACGCGTCATCAGTCAAGAGTCCTTTTGTGCCCACAAGAGACCCAGGTCCAGCTCACTTTGAATTCCATTGACTCTTATCTACCGCCAATTTGCTTGACCCATAAGTATCTCAAATTCTTGTAGAGAGCTTAAGCCTGCAATAAATCTCTATACTCATTTGAACTGCCTGAGTCTTCTGATTTCCCCGGGGCTTCTTAAGAAGCATATATATATATATATAAAATACTCTTTCTCCATACTGAATGTCTAGCAGTTGTAGCGTCTAATATGTTGGCAAACAAAAGAAAAAATATACATAGGTGTGTGTATTAACATCTAAATGTTTACACCATTTTGAATAAGAAGCTACTATTGGCCACCTCATTCTAACATTTAATTTGCATGCAATTAAATAACGGCATGGCCATAGGGGCCCCAAATACAGTTTGTGCATTTCACAACAAGAAACATGAATCAAAGGAAAGGCAAGTGTAGCTTTATTTCAATCCAGTTAGTAATGCGATGTATGAACAAGAAGATTGTTGTCTAAAGTACATGCCTTTATAAGACATTAAAATGATTAAATTAGATCTACATTTCACTTTCAGTTGATACTTAGAAAACACTAAAGCACAAACTTTTGGAAATAGCAAGAGTCTCCTTTTTTCCTCCTCTTAAAAATAAATGAGAGAACTATGTGCTAGTGAATTGTCAGTATTAAACAGACTCCAACATAAATAATATAAAGAATGGTGCTTTAGATTTATAGCATAATCAAGTCACACAACTTGTACTTTATTGGATTTTAATGTTTTAGTTTAACTAGCATCAGCTACTGAGACTTTTAAAGCATACAATTTAAGTGCCCACTACAGTTAAAACATATTGAACCAGACCTCAAGAAAAATAGTTGATTCATGTTTCCCCAAAACCACGCATCACATGTGCCACAAAACGTTGCACCTGGTTATGCCAGCTCTGCTCTAATACCACTAGTTTGTAAAAAGCTTAATTTTGTCCTGCGGTTCCAATATATTCCCTTCCAGAAAGCAATTTCCCTGCTCCATCACTGGAAACCTATAATTCATTTTCTTTGAATCACTTACAGATGGCAGTCAGGCTTTGCCAAGTGCCTGAATTTCAACAAAATAAAACCCAGGAAAAGAAAGTATTTTTAGTTAATGTTCTCTTGAAACATGAGAACCGAAGGGGCCAAACTAAAAGGCCAAGGAACATAGAAATAATATTCCAATGCTCGTATTTTGAGAGAGTAAATTTATTCAGTCAGTTCTGAAAAATGTACAGAATCCAATTTGGGAGATGTCCAAGCCATAGTGGTTGGAAAGCTTGCAGCCTCTAAGGAAAGTTGAGATATCAGTCATGGCTTAGCTCAGAGACATGAGTGATAAATTCCAGAAAACATTTTAGCTGTTGAACAAGATACATTACCGGCCTGGGAACAAGCCACAGGGTTGGATGCAAAGAGGCATTTCAAATACCAAAAACTCAGAAAAACTTGGACAATTCAATAGAGCTATCCAACATATAAGCTAAATGCTAGGAAGCCAAAATGTTTCCTCAGACTACAAGTAATTCTGCACAATAGTTTATTCTTCTAACTAAGGATCATTTCTTAAAGAAATAACCCAAAATACTGCTAGCCAAATAGTTAAGAAGATCTTCTCTTAACAAAGAGGAAAACATGCCATTTTCTTATCTTTTCCAAAGCCAAAGACATGTTTAACATGAAAGGGATTTATGTACTGCCTAATACTAGCCAGTTAGGGATAGGAAGGGACCTTGGAGGTCTTCTAGTCCAGCTCCCTGCTCAAGCAGGAGAATCTATACCATCTCAGACAAGTGACTGTCTAGCTTCTTTTAAAAAATTTCCAGTGATGCAGCACCCACAATTTCTGGGGGCAAGCTATTCCACTGGTTAATTGTTGTCACCCTCAGGAAGTTTCTCCTTAATTCCAGGTTGCTTCTCTCTTTGGTCAATTTCCAACCATTGTTTCTTGTCCTGCCCTCTGGTGCTTTGGTGAACAACATGATCCCCCTCTTCTTTGTGGCAGCCCTCAGATACTGGAATACGGCTATCATGTCTTTCCTATTTCTTCTTTTCTTTAGTGGCATGTAAACAAGATAAATGAGCATAACAAATATTTTTAATCCACATAATGCATCAGCTGCCCTCACGCGTCCAAAGCATTTAATCAAGCTTGTATTTTTAAGTCCTTTAAAATCAACACATTCCAGTTTACACAGTTGGCATTTGCTATACATGCTATGAAAAACTGTCTCTTAGGACCTTATTATTTTTGAAATGGACAGAAGGAATCTAGGGTAAGTTTGACTGGACCACAAACCTCGGCCAATTTAGCAGTCAGAGTTCTTATCCTAGGAATTGCATTTTGCTCTGAGGTAGATAATTTCAACGGCCTTCTTCACAATACTTCCATTAGTTTTTTCTGGGAGTAGAGCTTTGTGAATTTAAGTATTGTTCTATACAAATCCCACCCTGTTACTTCCAATATGTGACCCCCTAATTGCCTCTGCGCACATAACTATTCCCAGCAAACCTACTACAAAAACAGCTAGGTCACATCGTTATTGTTTGTAAAGGAAGAATCTGGAAAGCAAATATCTTCAAAAGCTGTCACAGTTTCTATACCTTCTTCCATCTAACACACACCATTAATGTGGGCAATAAAACATAAATTAATCTACAATTATTGACACCCAGGCTTTTATTCACAGCCTGTGGGAAAAAATAAACACCAATGTCCTGCTGCAGAAGTGTGTCCACCTCTCAAGTTCAAGACTTACATTATACAAAATACAAGGAATCATATTCTCTCTTTGCCCATCTCCCACTTGGCAACAGTTGGTTGCACTGCCTGTGGGAGGAAAGAGACATATAGGCTTACAAAATTGTTGATCAAACTATTGCTCTTCTACTCAAAGCACACTTTCAAAGGGAAAAAAACAACTTCTCCCGAACTAAAGATATTACTCAGGTGCATGAAGAAATAAACCTTAAGAAATTTGTTGGGAAATATTTTGTCCCACTTAACTGACCTACTTTTGGCATGGGGCAACTATTAACCTCAGTGACTTGGTTAAGACATCCAACATCTATTCAAAATTTGACTTCTGCTTTAGATCGCTCATTGTAAGAAGCTTCTTTCTATATGTGGTGCATTTCATTCTCCAGCTCTTTCTGAAATGCAATAGGACTTTTACGCTCTCTGTTTTGTATTTTGGGAATTAATTTTCTGTTCTGCTATGCTGCCCAGAGTCACCTTATTGGAGAAATGAGCAGCATATAAATTTAATAAATACAATGCAATATGCTTCACTCCCTTATAAATAATCCCTTGAATGCTTTGAAGAATGTTCTTCCATGAAGATAAGCTGGATGTACACAAGTCTTCTTGCGGGTGAACAATTTACTGTTTAATCTTCTACCTGCAAGCTCCTAACACTACAAGTAGTCCTTGACTTACAACCACTCATTCAGCAACCAATGCCAGTTATGACAATGCTGACTGAGTGGTAGTTACAAACTGGTCCTCAAAGTTCCAACCACTGCAGTGTACTCATAGTTACATTGGGCAAATGGTACACACTTATGGCAGTTGCAGCAACTCGTGATCACGGCATTGCCATTCACTACCTTTCCTTCACGGCTTCCCACAAGAAAAGTCAATGGGAAAGCCACCAGGGGAAGCTGCAAGTTGATCCTGTAAGTTGCTGCCACCATTTTTTTCTCTGGAGGAGTCCTATTATGAAGTATCACCTGCTTACATTCAGTAGTAAGTGCTTGTCTGCAGCACCCCCACTGGCCTGCTCACACTCCCTAGAGCCCACCAGCATTCCCTAGCATATGCATGCAGCCCTTGCCATCCCCGTGTTTCCTAGGGCCAACGGCACCCTCCACACTCCTTGCCTGGAGCTCCCATCTCTTCCCATTCAACGTCCTTGTCCGGGGCTCCGTCTCTTCTCATTTAACACGTCACTTTATATCCGCTTCATTTAGAACCAGAAATTTTGGTCCCAATTGCGATCATAACTTGGGGACTACTTGCAGAGCTTAGCAGAATTTTAATTTTAGGCAAATGAAAATTTATCAAGGCAGAACACTGAATGACAAAAGTACATTGTTATCCTCTAATATCATCATTCATATCTTTGTCATTCCACAAGAATACTTCAGCACAGGAAATCTATCCTGGTTACGACATCCTTCAATCCTGTTTTGTCAACCACTAAAATCTGCCCCTTTTTTTAATACTGGGCTTTAAGTAAAGAATAGCGCATTAAATCAGAATAGATTAGTTGTTCTATAGTGCTGTCTGCTTGAATTTTTAAACTATATTTCTAGTACCTTGATAAGTTTAAAAAATCCACTGGAAGTTTTTAAGAAGAAACCGGACAGCCATTTGTCCGAAATGGTATAGGGTTTCCTGCCTGAGCAGGAGGTTGGATTAGATGACCTCCGAGGTCCCTTCCAACTTTATCATCATCATCATCATCATTATTATTATTATTATTATTATTATTATTATTATTATTATTATTATTATTATTATTACTACTACTACTACTACTACTACTACTACTACTACTACTACTACTACTACTACTACTACTACTACTAAGATCCATAGTTTACAACATCTTTGAGTTCCTGGCAATGTTGCCCACACAGACCATTGTTGATTGGGTACTTTATCGTTCTTCAGCATCTTTTCTATGTCAATACAAGACCCCAAATGTGGACAATTATGCCAGCTCCTTCTAGCACTGATATTCTCTAGTTGAAATGTCTACAAGAAAACCACCAAGGTCAGTGAGAGCCCCAAGGACCCTACAGTTCAACCCTGAGCTACAAATATTCACTTCTATGTGGATAATTTATAATTGCTTCTTTGCCAGTTTGGGGCAGACCCTACTGAGATGCTTAGCCAAAACAGGCCTGGGTTTGTTTGTTTTTTGATGTGTAGGTGGAATGTCTTTGAGACGGGAAAAAGGGGCAATTGGGTCAAGCATTTTAAGAACAAGATTTCTCTTTAGGGGCAAGTTTTCCCCAAAAGTCGACAGGTCTATCCACGACTGTGGTTAAACTAGGATTTATTTATTTTCATATAATACATGTGTGAGAATCTATTGCCTCGGGCTGGGGTTGGACTAGAAGACCTCCGAGGTCCCTTCCAGCCCTGTCATTCCCCCCAAATCTGAAACTTCATGAAGGGGTGGATGAGCTGAAGAGTTTGGGGTACAGATAGTCCTCAACTTCCAACAGTTCACTTAGTGACCGTTCAAAGTTACAACAGCGCTGAAAAAAAAGTGACAGGACCACTGTGACACTTACGACCGTGGCAGTGTCCCCACGGTCCAAATTCGGAGACTTGGCAACTGGCCTGTATTGATGACGGTCGCAGGGTGTCCCAGGGTCACGTGATCCCCTTTGGCGACCTTCCAACCAGCCAAGTCAACGGGGAAGCCGGAGTCACTTTAACAACCGTGTTACTAACTTAACAACCACGGTGATTCACTTAACAACCGTGGCATAATAATAATAAACTTTATTACGGTCATAGACCAGCAATAGCCATCACTTTTTACAATATATTAAATAATAATAATAATAATAATAATAATAATAATAATAATAATAGTAATAATAGTAAAAATAGTACTAACATTAATAGTAAATAATAACATCCCTGTTAAGAAAATACATGTTCTCAAAATGTTAGGGTCACTCCCTAGTTTACGTGAGTGGATAGCCAATTAATGTGTGAGTAAATATAAGGTCGCAAAATGGGGCAAAGCTCCCTTAGCCAATGTCTCGCTTAGCGACATGAATTTCGGGGCTCCGTTGTGGTCGTAAGTCGAGGACTTACTAGAGTGGGCCTAAAAAAACCGTTTTCTGCCCTCGAAAAGCCCGCCGCGACCCCGCCGAAGGGAAGGAAGCGCCGCAAAGCAGCAAGGCCCGCAATCCGGAGGCGAGGCCCGCCTGACAGGTCGACGCCTCCGGGCCCTCACGGCGGGAGAAGCCGGCCCGCTTCGGCCCTCCTTCCCTCCGGGCTTTTCCCCTTTTGACAGACCGTCCTTTTCGGGTTCGGACCGCGGCGCGGGGCCTTACCCGAAGAGCCCCGAGAAGAAGCCATGGGAGCCGCGGACCTTCTTGTCCGCCTCGGCGAGCAGCTGCAGCGCCTCCTTCTCCTTGCCGCTGGTGTCCATCGCCATGGCCGGCGGAGAACGGGCCCGCGCCCCGCGAAGAAGCCGAAGCTGAGGGAGAAAGAAAAAAAAGGGCGGGCGGACGGTCGAGCGAGCGCAACTATCCCCTCACGGCGGTCGCTTTCCCTCACGGCTGAGGGGGAAAAAAGAAGAGACGTCGCCTGACGACCTCACGTCAGCACGCACAGCCAATGGGCGGTGTCGGCGTCGTCTGTAATTCCCGCCTCCCCCATCACGTGACCCTAGGCCGCGCCCTCTGGGCCACCGACGCACGCACGCCGCCGGGTTCTCTCTCACGTGACCCAGGCTGTGCTGACTCACCAGCATCACGTGAGGCCAGCGGCCGCCACCGCCGCCGCCAGGGAAGACCGCTTCGGTGGTACAGTCCAGGACGGGAGGGTGCTAAGGCCGAGTTGGGCTGTACCATTTTTATTTACGGGAGGGAGGGGTTGAAATCCGTTTTCCAGGCTACGGAAACGCTTCGCTGAAATGTGCGCTTCGGTTTGACGGTCCTCCAAATTGGCCACGGTCCTCAAGCCAGGTGGGCTGTGGATGATGGGAGTTGTAGGCCAGTTGTTGGGCTTTCCGTCTGCCTCCTTAGATCTCCCAGCCAGGAAGATCTCGGTTGCTTGGAAATAAGGGGAAAGAACACATTTTTTCTAGGCGACAAATTTGCAAAAGGTTTAAGACTGCAACAGTCTTGGCCTTTGTGGATTTGCTCCAGTAAAGAATTGTGCGGCCAATCCCAAGATCTTCTAGATCAGTGTTTCTCAACCTTGACAATTTTAAGGCATGTGGACTTCAACTCCCAGAATTCCACAGCCAGCATTGCTGGCTGTGGAATTCTGGGAGTTGAAGTCCACATGCCTTAAAATTGTCAAGCTTGAGAAACACTGTTCTGGATCCAGGCTCTCCAAACTTGGCAACTTGGAAGACTTGGGGGACTTCAACTCCCAGAATTCCTCAGCCAGCCATGCTGGCTGAGGAATTCTGGGAGTTGAAGTCCCCCAAGTCTTCCAAGTTGCCAAGTTTGCAGACCCATTATACATCTTGCAGAGGAAACCAGAATCGCAACTTCCATTTCCCGAGCTATTGAAGTCCCAGCATGCTGGTTGGGGAATTCTGGGAGTTGAAGTCCAAACATCTGAAAGTTATCAAGATGGAGAAACACAGATCTACCTCTGTCGCAACCTGACGGGCTGGACTTTCAGCCTAATCCTGCAAGGCTCTGCCCTAAAACAAGACTAGAACTCACACAGTCTCCCGCTTTCTAGCCCAGGGCTGCTTTTAGCCACTACACACAAGTGGTGCTCTAAAGACAAGAGCGGTGTGAAATAAATTGTTAAATCTGATTAAAAAGTGTCTTTCTCCATGCAATGCATGCTTGTTGCAAAACTTGGCCTCGCAAATTAATGCGGGAAGTCCTCAAACCTACAATGGTTCGTTTAGTGACAGTTCACAGTTACAACATCACTGAAAAAAGTGACTTAGGACCGTTTTTCAACACTTAGGATTGTTGCAGCATCTCCATGGTCACATGATCAAAATTCAGACGCTTGGCAATTGACTCATACTTATGACGGGTGAGTGTCCCGGGGTCACGTGATCCCTTTTTGCGACCTTCCAACAAGCAGAGTCAATGGGGAAGCCAGATTCACTTAACAACCGTGTTACTAATTTAACAACTGAAGTGATTCATTTAACAACTGTGGCAAGAAAAGGCTTAAAATGGGGCAAAATTCACTTAACACATTTCTCCACCTTAAAAGATGCTCAATCCCTTTGGGAATCAAAGGACATATTCAATGTCGAAGTCCCTTCCGAGTCTTGTTATAAGGTCACTGTTAATATCCGTTAGCTCAGCACTGGAAGAAGGAAGAAACACCATCCGAGGAAGAGATAATTAAGAAGATCTTGGACTGTGCTGAAATGGACAGACTCACGCTGAGAGAGAAAGAAGATACAGAATATTTTCAAGCATGGAATTTATTTTATCAATGGCTGGAAAAACAGTGCAGAGACTAAGAATATAATTTGTATTACTAAGGAAAACAAAACGTAACCCAGATGACACGATGTTTATCAAGCACTAATGAAATGTAATAACAGAAGACCTACATATATATATTTGTCAATGCCAATGGTGTTCAAGTGGTGCTCCAGTTGTTTTGGGATGGCACCCAAAGCGCCTATGACTATTGGTACCACCCTTGCTTGCTTTTGCCACAGTCTTTCTATTTCTATTTGTAGGTCTTTGTATTTTGTTATCTTCTCCAGTTCTTTCTCGTCTATCCTGCTCGTCTATCCAGGCACTGCCACATCCACTATCCAGACTTTTTTGTCTTTCTTATCGACAATTGTTAAGTCCGGGGTGTTATGTTGCAGGTGCTTGTCTGTTTGAATTCTGAAGTCCCAGAGCAGTTTAATTTTATCATTTTCTATGACTTTCCACCACCAACACAATAGCCAAAAAAAAACCTCATCTTTGCAGCCACCACACTCCATGCAGTGAAAGGGGCTTCTAATAACCCCGGCAAATAAGGGCAGGGGAATCCTTTGCTGCTTGCCAGGAGACGGAGGGCAAGCTTTCAAAATTAAAAGGCAGAAACAGTCTTAGCCTGGCTGTCTCGGGGTGAATCCCTCCTAATCCAAGGACGCTTTTAGCCCTGCTGGGAACTTTTTAGAGGAGCCCTAAAGGAATCACTTCCCGAAGAAAGGTTAGCCTGTAATCCCACTTGGCTGCACCAGGAGCTGTGAGACCGCAAAGAACTGCAAGCTGCACTCTGCTTATGATAACAAAGGAGTGAGTATCGGCACAGCTGTTTTCTCTGCGTACGGATGGCAGAAATCTGGGGGTGCCCCTCGGTTGCCTTTGCTTCTTGAAAACTTTTGCTTTTTGCCGCTCCAAAAGCTGCATTGGACGGGTTGGGGGGGGGGATTTTCCCACGGGAAGAAGGTGGGATGGGCAGAGTGGAATTCCAGCAGAAAATCCATCTGTCCCAAAGAAACCGTTGGCTTTCCTGGTTGATGGACGGATCCGGTGAGTGCGTCACCAAGGTCGTGTTGAGCCTTTGGTGGGAATGAAAACCTGATTCCCAGCCTCCCTCCAGATCCAAGTAGCTGTGTCTTAAAGCATCTCTTCCGTCATCGGACGAAATTGATAAACGGGGAAACCGCTGTCATTGGAGAAATCAATACGGGCAAAAGAATAGATTAAAATTAGCATCCTCCTTTTAAATCGCTGTTCCAAACAGGTATGCTGCAAGCACATACATGATATTAGTTTTTAGGTGGTTACAGCAGCATACGGAATTTTTTGAGGGAGAATAACACCGTCTAGTGTGCAACCGATACAGCATCATCGCTTTTTCTAACCTGGTGCATTCCAGCTGTGTTGGATTACAACTCTCATTCACTCCAACCAGCGTGGCCTTTTGAGAATTATGGGGGTTGGAATCTTTTTTTATCTTAAAAAAAAAAAAAAAAAACATCAGCTAGGCTGCTCTAGCAATATGGGGCTGCAAATTTTAATTGAATAAATAACGTATGGGTCTGAGATCACAAGAAACAAGGAACTGAATAAATTGTGTAATTAATTAACCATATTAAACATACAGTGCCTATTCGTTATAAGCCAATCATGCTAAATAGATTTTTTTTTAAAAAAAAAAGATAAAAGAAATCTGGAGTACTAGGATAAAGGGATTTCTAAATAATTTCGTCATATTAATAGTCTGGCTCAGAAAATTCGGGCACTTTGTTCGGAATTTACTTCTATGGCTTAAGGTCCCAATGGTGTAAATCCTTCATATATTTTTTTCATTTCATTCTCCTGCAAGGTGGATTATGTGGAGTTATTTGGCCCCGTAGTAGCTCTTGGTGAAGCAGAAGCCACTAGGTGGGAAAGTATGAAGATCAGCCCGCTTGTTGTTTCTAATGCTACTGTGCTATTTTTTTTTCCCCTCTTGATCCTCACTTTAAGACCAAAATGGAAGATGTGGGCTCCAAAAGGATCAGTGACTTCTTACAGAAATGCGTCAAACTAGAGGACAGCGAGGGGGGCCCTCCACCCAAGGAGATCTTGGACGTTCAAAGTCTCCCTCTAGTCATGCCATCCTATCCTCAGACAGTGCAAGGTACGGGAATCTCTCTCCTCCAGAGGTCTCTGCACCTAGAACAGTGTTTTCCAACCTTAGCAACTTTAAGGCAGGTGGACTTCAACTCCCAGAATTCCCTAGCCAGCAGAAAGCAACTCATGGGTGGCTCGCTTTAAGCAGATTTATTTATTTGTCTTATTTGTTTATTAGGTGTTTCTTCTGCCTTTACTACTTTATAAGTAAGTCAAGGTGGCAAGCATAAGTCCTTCCTCCTTCTGCTTTCCCCACAATTACTCTGTGAGGTGGGTTGGGCTGAGAGAGAGGGACTGGACCAAAGTCACCCAGCTGGCTTTCAGGCCCAAGGCAGGACTAGAACTCATTGTCTCCTGGTGATTGGCCCAAAGTCACCCAGCCAGCTTTCATGCCTAAGGCAGGACTAGAACTCACCGTCCCCTGGTGATTGGCCCAAAGTCCCCCAGCCGGCTTTCATGCCTAAGGCGGGACTAGAACTCNTGACAGACCGTCCTTTTCGGGTTCGGACCGCGGCGCGGGGCCTTACCCGAAGAGCCCCGAGAAGAAGCCATGGGAGCCGCGGACCTTCTTGTCCGCCTCGGCGAGCAGCTGCAGCGCCTCCTTCTCCTTGCCGCTGGTGTCCATCGCCATGGCCGGCGGAGAACGGGCCCGCGCCCCGCGAAGAAGCCGAAGCTGAGGGGGAATGAAAAAAAAAAGGGCGGGCGGGCGGACGGTCGAGCGAGCGAGCGAGCGCAACTATCCCCTCACGGCGGTCGCTTTCCCTCACGGCTGAGGGGGAAAAAAGAAGAGACGTCGCCTGACGCCCTCACGTCAGCACGCACAGCCAATGGACGGCGTCGGCGGCGTCTGTAATTCCCGCCTCCTCCGGCACGTGACCTAGACCGCGCCCTCTGGGCCACCGACGCACGCACGCACGCCGCCGGATTCTCTCTCACGTGACCCAGGCTGTGCTGACTCACCAGCATCACGTGAGGTCAGCGGCCGCCACCACCGCCGCCAGGGAAGACCGCTTCGGTGGTACAGTCCAGGACGGGAGGGTGCTAAGGCCGAGTTGGGCTGTACCATTTTTATTTACGGGAGGGAGGGGTTGAAATCCGTTTTCCAGGCTACGGAAACGCTTCGCTGAAATGTGCGCTTCGGTTTGACGGTCCTCCAAATTGGCCACGGTCCTCAAGCCAGGTGGGCTGTGGATGATGGGAGTTGTAGGCCAGTTGTTGGGCTTTCCGTCTGCCTCCTTAGATCTCCCAGCCAGGAAGATCTCGGTTGCTTGGAAATAAGGGGAAAGAACACATTTTTTCTAGGGGACACATTTGCATAAGGTTTAAGACTGCAACAGTCTTGGCCTTTGTGGATTTGCTCCAGTAAAGAATTGTGCGGCCCATCCCAAGATCTTCTAGATCCAGGCTCTCCAAACTTGCCAACTTGGAAGACTTTGGGGGACTTCAACTCCCCCAATCTTCCAAATTGCCAAGTTTGCAGACCCATTATACATCTTGCAGAGGAAACCAGAATCGCAACTTCCATTTCTCGAGCTATTGAAGTCCCAGCATGCTGGTTGGGGAATTCTGGGAGTTGAAGTCCAAACATCCAAAAGCTATCAAGACTGAGAAACACAGATCTACCTCTGTAGCATCCTGAACGGGCTGGACATTCTGCCTAATCCTGCAAGGCTCTGCCCTAAAACAAGACTAGAACTCACACAGTCTCCCGCTTTCTAGCCCAGGGCTGCTTTTAACCACTACACCCAGTGGCACTCTAAAGACAAGAGCGGTGTGAAATAAATTGTTAAATCTGATTAAAAAGTGTCTTTCTTCAGGCAATGCATGCTTGTTGCAAAACGTGGCTTTGCAAATGCATACAGGAAGTCCTCAAACTTACAATGGTTCGTTTAGTGACAGTTCACAGTTACGGCATCACTGAAAAAAGTGACGGGACCGTTTTCCCCACACTTACGACCGTTGCAGCATCCCCGTGGTCATGTGATCAAAATTTAGACACTTGGCGATTGACTCATACTTATGACGGGTGAGTGTCCCGGGGTCACGTGATCCCCTTTTGCGACCTTCCGACAAGCAGAGTCAATGGGGAAGCCAGATTCACTTAACAACCGTGTTACTAATTTAACAACTGAAGTGATTCATTTAACAACTGTGGCAAGAAAAGGCTTAAAATGGGGCAAAATTCACTTAACACATTTCTCCACCTTAAAAGATGCTCAATCCCTTTGGGAATCAAAGGACATATTCAATGTCGAAGTCCCTTCCGAGTCTTGTTATAAGGTCACTGTTAATATCCGTTACCTCAGCACTGGAAGAAGGAAGAAACACCATCAGAGGAAGAGATAATTAAGAAGATCTTGGACTGCGCTGAAATGGACAGATTCACGCTGAGAGAGAAAGAAGATACAGAATATTTTCAAGCATGGAATTTATTTTATCAATGGCTGGAAAAACAGTGCAGAGACTAGGAATATAATTTGTATTACTAAGGAAAACAAAATGTAACCCAGATGACACGATGTTTATCAAGCACTAATGAAATGTAATAACAGAAGACCTACATATATATATTTGTCAATGCCAATGGTGTTCAAGTGGTGCTCCAGTTGTTTTGGGGTTGCAGCCAAGGCGCCTATGACTATTGGTACTACCCTTGCTTGCTTTTGCCACAGTCTTTCTATTTCTATTTGTAGGTCTTTGCATTTTGTTATCTTCTCCAGTTCTTTCTCGTCTATTCTGCTGTCTCCAGGCACTGCCACGTCCACTATCCAGGCTTTTTTGTCTTTCTTATCGACAATTGTTAAGTCCGGGGTGTTATGTCGCAGGTGCTTGTCTGTTTGAATTCTGAAGTCCCAGAGCAGTTTAATTTTATCATTTTCTATGACTTTCCACCACCAACACAATACCCCCCCCAAAAAAGTCATCTTTGCAGCCACCACACTCCATGCAGTGAAAGGGGCTTCTAATAACCCCTGCAAATAAGGGCAGGGGAATCCTTTGCTGCTTGCCAGGAGAAGGGAGGGCAAGCTTTCAAAATTAAAAGGCAGAAACAGTCTTAGCCTGGCTGTCTCGGGGTGAATCCCTCCTAATCCAAGGACGCTTTTAGCCCTGCTGGGGACTTTTTAGAGGAGCCCTAAAGGAATCACTTCCCGAAGAAAGGTTAGCCTGTAATCCCACTTGGCTGCACCAGGAGCTGTGAGACCGCAAAGAACTGCAAGCTGCACTCTGCTTATGATAACAAAGGAGTGAGTATCGGCACAGCTGTTTTCTCTGCGTAAGGATGGCAGAAATCTGGGGGTGCCCCTCGGTTGCCTTTGCTTCTTGAAAACTTTTGCTTTTTGCCGCTCCAAAAGCTGCATTGGACGGGTTGGGGGGGGGGATTTTCCCACGGGAAGAAGGTGGGATGGGCAGAGTGGAATTCCAGCAGAAAATCCATCTGTCCCAAAGGAACCGTTGGCTTTCCTGGTTGACGGATCTGGTGAGTGTGTCACCAAGGTCGTGTTGAGCCTTTGGTGGGAATGAAAACCTGATTCCCAGCCTCCCTCCAGATCCAAGTAGCTGTGTCTTAAAGCATCTCTTCCGTCATCGGACGAAATTGATAAACGGGGAAACCGCTGTCATTGGAGAAATCAATACCGGCAAAAGAATAGATTAAAATTAGCATCCTCCTTTTAAATCGCTGTTCCAAACAGGTATGCTGCAAGCACATACATGATATTAGTTTTTAGGTGGTTACAGCAGCATACGGAATTTTTTGAGGGAGAATAACACCGTCTAGTGTGCAACCGATACAGCATCATCGCTTTTTCTAACCTGGTGCATTCCAGCTGTGTTGGATTACAACTCTCATTCACTCCAACCAGCGTGGCCTTTTGAGAATTATGGGGGTTGGAATCTTTTTTTATCTTAAAAAAAAAAAAAAAAAACATCAGCTAGGCTGCTCTAGCAATATGGGGCTGCAAACTTTAATTGAATAAATAGCGTATGGGTCTGAGATCACAAGAAACGAGCAACTGAATAAATTGTGTAATTAATTAACCATATTAAACATACAGTGCCTATTCGTTATAAGCCAATCGTGCTAAATATATTTTAAAAAAAAAAGACAAAAGAAATCTGGAGTACTAGGATAAAGGGATTTCTAAATAATTTCGTCATATTAATAGTCTGGCTCAGAAAATTCGGGCACTTTGTTCGGAATTTACTTCTATGGCTTAAGGTCCCAATCGTGTAAATCCTTCATATTTTTTTTCATTTCATTCTCCTGCAAGGTGGATTATGTGGAGTTATTTGGCCCCATAGTAGCTCTTGGTGAAGCAGAAGCCACTCGGTGGGAAAGTATGAAGATCAGCCCGCTTGTTGTTTCTAATGCTACTGTGCTATTTTTTTTTCCCCTCTCGATCCTCACTTTAAGACCAAAATGGAAGATGTGGGCTCCAAAAGGATCAGTGACTTCTTACAGAAATGCGTCAAACTAGAGGACAGCGAGGGGGGCCCTCCACCCAAGGAGATCTTGGACGTTCAAAGTCTCCCTCTAGTCATGCCATCCTATCCTCAGACAGTGCAAGGTACGGGAATCTCTCTCCTCCAGAGGTCTCTGCACCTAGAACAGTGTTTTCCAACCTTAGCAACTTTAAGGCAGGTGGACTTCAACTCCCAGAATTCCCTAGCCAGCAGAAAGCAACTCATGGGTGGCTCGCTTTAAGCAGATTTATTTATTTGTCTTATTTGTTTATTAGGTGTTTCTCCTGCCTTTACTACTTTATAAGTAAGTCAAGGTGGCAAGCATACGTCCTTCCTCCTTCTGCTTTCCCCACAATTACTCTGTGAGGTGGGTTGGGCTGAGAGAGAGGGACTGGACCAAAGTCACCCAGCTGGCTTTCAGGCCCAAGGCAGGACTAGAACTCACCGTCTCCTGGTGATTGGCCCAAAGTCACCCAGCCGGCTTTCATGCCTAAGGCGGGACTAGAACTCACTGTCCCCTGGTGATTGGCCCAAAGTCACCCAGCCGGCTTTCATGCCTAAGGCGGGACTAGAACTCACAGTCTCCTGGTGATTGGCCCAAAGTCANGGCTTTCATGCCTAAGGCGGGACTAGAACTCACCGTCCCCTGGTGATTGGCCCAAAGTCACCCAGCCGGCTTTCATGCCTAAGGCGGGACTAGAACTCACCCTCTCCTGGTGATTGGCCCAAAGTCAGCCAGCCGGCTTTCATGCCTAAGGCGGGACTAGAACTCACCGTCCCCTGGTGATTGGCCCAAAGTCACCCAGCCGGCTTTCATGCCTAAGGCGGGACTAGAACTCCCGGTCTCCTGGTGATTGGCCCAAAGTCACCCAGCCGGCTTTCATGCCTAAGTCGGGACTAGAACTCACCGTCCCCTGGTGATTGGCCAAAGTCACCCAGCTGGCTTTCATGCCTAAGGCGGGACTAGAACTCACCATCCCCTGGTGATTGGCCTCAAGTCACCCAGCCGGCTTTCATGCCTAAGGCGGGACTCACTGTCTATTGATTTCTAGGCCAGCACCTTAACCACTAAACCAACATCCTGCTAATTTGTAAGGGACAGAGTGATTATATCATAAAAACTAGGTATGCCCCTAAAATAAATGAGTTGTCACGAAGTCCAAGTAGCCTTATAATAACACTTTCCTGAAGGCGATGTCAGCCTTGGATGAATGGCGCCCCCTCCTAGCTCCCCCTTCCCCGTCCTTTGATATGTGGCCCATTCAACTGTGCTGCCATTAACCACAACGCTTGCGGTTACTGTCTCCTCTCCTGTTCCATTTCGACAGAGGAAATTTCCATGGTTTTCAATACTTGTGCAGTGCCAGCCAATCTGGGCCCCTGTACCAGGAGGCGGCGCGAGAAAGGCAGCGGCCACGACGGGACCAGCACGTCTCTCTACGTCGACCGGCGCAAGTCCAAAGTCTGGAACTATTACACCAAGCTGGGCGACGCCTACGTGGAATGCAACGTCTGCAAGAAGCAGCTGTCCTTCCACAACAGCACCACCACCATGCGCGAACATCTGGTGCGGAAGCACAGCATCCGTGACACCTTGCTCTCGCAGCTGAAGGACGACCAGGCGCCCGACCCGGACTACGCAGCTCAGGAGAACGCCATAAAAAGAGCTCGCCAGCTGACCCCGGAGAGCAACAATCCGTATCATACCGTGGCCTGCACGGAACCCAGGACGGATGTGATCCTGGAACTGGTGCTAGAAATGATCTTTCGGGACCTGCATCCGCTCTCCGTGGTGAAAGACAAAGGTTTTGGCCTTCTCATTGGCTACTTAGAACCTAGCTTTGTTCTGCCCTCCCCGGTGCAGCTCTCTAGCATGTTGTGGCATCGATACAATGTGGTCAAGCAACATCTGGAACACTACCTGCAGACAGCTCAGTCGATCGTCATCTGTGCCGAATTCTGGCTGTCTCACCCCAACCAGAGGTACCTGACGATGGTGACTAATTTTATCGACGGAGAATGGCGGCGGGCGAGATGCATCCTGGAGAGCCAGCAGGTCCACGAGAACAAAGCAGAGCGCAACCTGGGAGACAGGCTGTATGCAGTCCTCGCGGACTTCGGGCTGTCCAACAAATCAGTCTTCTGCATGATGCACGACAGCCTGCAGGATTTGGAGGCCAATTCGTCCCACCTGAAATGCATCTATGGTTGGACCAGCCTGTGCTGCGCAGCTCATCTGCTCCACCTCTGCGTCAAGGTGGGCCTTGAGGTAGAGCAGGTGCAGGAAGCGTTGGCGGCCGCTCGAAGCGTCGTCTGTTATTTCCAGCAAGATGCCAAAGCTACTTGCTCCCTCAACAGCAAACTGGAAGCTATCAACAAGACCAAGCTGAAACTGGTCATGGACACTGGGGCTCGGTGGATAACGACCATCGAGATGTGCGAATGCCTGCTGGATCTCAAGTGGGCCATCATGTCTGTGCTGGAGGAACATCCCAAGGGGCCTTCGGTGGTCCAGAATTTGGCCGATCACCAGTGGAAGCTCTTGCAGGACCTGGTGCCCGTGATGAGGACGCTTAAGATCGCCACGTCGTTCTTGCGAGAAGAGCAAAACTTCTCCATTGCCTCCCTGATGCCTTGCATCCATGGCATCATCACCGCCATCGGGCAACAGGCGGAAGGAGCCAGCGGCATCATCAAGACAGTGGTCCACAATATCAGAGGAGAGCTCACCCAGCGTTGGGGTATCTCGGATGAAGCCAAGTTGCTGGAGAGCCCGGCGGTCATCGCATCGTTTCTAGACCCTCGATTCAAGGAAATGAGGTTCCTCAGCCCGAGCCTGCGGAGCGAGCTGCACAAAAAAATCAAGGCCATGTTGTCCCAGTTCTTCAATCCTCAGACGCCGCTGACCACCCAGTTCTGGGTGCCCAATTCTGATTACAAAGCAGAGGTCAGTGAAGCAACCGGCCAGCTTGCTGCTCACAAGGAAAGAGGTTCGAGTGGACAATCTCAAAGTATGTATGATATCCTTCTGGGGAAAGACCCGACAGAGAGCATGCCCGAGATCCATCAGCAGCTGGAGAACTACATCGTGGAACCCCTTTGCAAGCGTAGCACTAACCCCTTGGATTGGTGGAAGAGCAACGAACACCGCTTCCCCTCGGTGGCCCGGTTAGCCCGGCAATATTTGGCTATACCGGCCACAGTTGTCCCACCGGATCAGGCCTTTGCCGCTAGCGAAAGTGCGCTGGAGCACCGGAGAGGTGTACTGGCTCCCGAAAACCTGGACCAAATTCTTTTCTTGCACCAGAATTTTGACTTTTTAGAATCGATGCGCAACGGGAACGAGAATCTGAGTAAGTCTGCGCACAGCCAGTATTGAAAAAAAAAAAACAGGCATGGGAAGGGCATAAGAAATCAGTCACACTGGCAGCAAGGTTTGAGCTCGTCCTTTAACTTAAAAACCAGTTTGCCTACCGCCTAAGCTTTACGTGGGTTTCTCCCTGTCGTGCAGATTGTCCTGTAAATAAGACTAGCTTTAAAAAAAAAAAAAAGATGAGACATACAGGTAGTCCTTGACATAGGACCATAATTGATTCCAAAATTTCTGTGGCTGACACATTTGTTAAGTGAGTTCTACCCCATTTTACGACGACTTTTCTTGCCACAGTTGTTAAGCGAATCATGTGGGGAGGCTGCAACGGCCGTACGTGTGGAAAGACGGTCATAAGTCGTTTTTTTCAGCGCCGTTGTAACTTTGAACGGTTACTAAATGAACTGTTGCAACTCGAGGACTACCCTGTACTTAAAACAGGTGGTAGAGCAAGGACATCCCTGTTCCTCTTCTAAAGAGATTCAGGTGTATTCTTGGAAGGCAGGTGGGTCTGGGAAGCCATGAAATTTAATTGGAGAACTAGATTCATGCCTCCACTATTTTGGAAAGAGGGTTAATAAGGACAAGTTGAAATAATTTCAGATGTCTTCCTTAAATTACTACCATATAGACCAGGGGTAGGCAACCTTGGCTCTTTTATGACTCGTGGACTTCAACTCCCAGAATTCCTGAGACAGCCGTGCTGAGGGGAAAGGGAGAGGTTTCCATGCTGAGCCATGCTGGCTCAGGAATTCTGGAAGTTGAAGTCCACCAGTCATAAAAGAGCCAAGGTTGCCTACCCCTGATATAGAGCAAGGAACTTCTAATAAAGGTACAAAAATAAAATATTGCAAATAGCAATTATGTGATTCCCCCCCCCCCAGGACACTGCAATGTCATAAATACATTGCCAATCGCCTGAATTTTGATCACATGACCGTGGAAGACGCTGTGACAGTCACTAAGTGTGAGGACCGTATAGAACCATTCTATAATTTATGCAAGGATGCTAGTTTTGATGGCATTCCAAACATTAACTAGAAGGCATGTAGGATGGGAACAGCTCAAGCCCACTCCTAACTGAGTTAAGAAGTAAGATTGTATGAGCACACGAGGAAAGCAAACCCATGGAAGCCGATGTCAGTGAAGATGTGTGTCAACCAGCTACGGTTTGGTGTCTTGAAAAAATAACCCTAGTTTATCAAACACCCCAAATGTATGCCTGCTTTTCAAAAGCGTTGTTTCGTTTCGATAAGACTGCCCTGGAGAGACGTAGGTTTCATTTTCATCAATGGGACACCTGCTGGCTATATTACAAGTCCATAATAATGGCCTCTGGCTTGGAAAAGTTTCATAGAGATAAAACTCGTAATGCTTATTTATTCTATTTTAATCCTATTTAGCAAGTAACTGGCTTCCAGAACGGGATGCAAATCTAGGAAAGCCCATTTGGCAAATATCTGCCATTCTGTTTATCTCCCGGTCATACCCAGCTCATTTACAGAGTTCTTCCGTTATCAATTAGGCCCACGTCACACGGCTATCTTAAAAGTGTGGAAAGTGTACTTGGGTCATCTGCAATGAGGGTAGATCAGACTTGTCAAACACAAGGCCCGGGGGCCGGATGCAGCCTACAAAGTGGTTTCATGTGGCCCGCAAAGCCATCCTGGAAACAGTGAGGGAACGGCCCCCACTGCCTTGGCCCTGGCCCACGCCGGCGGGAGCCAATGCACAATTTTGTGGTGGCCATCTATGCTGAAACGCATTCAGTCTTAGCTCCACAAGGCCGTCTGGAAACAGTGAGGAACCAGCCCCTGCCGTGTCGGCCCCGTCCCCTGGGTGCCTGCTGGGGAGGTGTCACCCTTTGTGAGGAATGAAGAAATGGACCGTGCCTTGGTGCTTGCCCCGGTCCCATCCCCTTCTGCCAGAGACCCTCAGATCTGTCCCACTCCTGCCCAGGCCCCCACAGGCACCCTTGACACGAACGGTGTACTGTAGAGCTGGCCATGCCCACCCAGTAAGCCACACCCACTCCATCCATGCCAACCCAGTAGGCCACACCCACCTTGGCCACCCCCCCCAAGGGCAACCGCAATGCTGATGTGGCCCTCAATGAAATTGAGTTTGACACCCCTGGGGTAGATGATGAATTCTAGTTTCAGGATCTCCAAGATGCCTTGAGGTTGTGTCCACAGTGAAGGCAAATGTGAACATAAAAACTGGCTATAACGTAAGGAGTTTCCTGAGGGCGGTGAGCCAACGTGTTTTAAATGAGCTTTATGGCTTTGGAGATGATGTAAACACAACGGCAGGCCATTTTTAAGAGTCAGGTTCTGCTCTCAGGCTTGCAACTCAAACTACGACAAGACTCATACAGAAAGGGAGGTAGACAGCAATAACGTATTGGAGTCTGAATAAAGAGTCAACTTTTAAATGGCCTTAGTATCCAATGTACTCATCCATTGACTGAAGATGTGTTTGTAATCCTCGTTTCCAACATCGACGGATGAAGTCAGGAATGGGCAAATTGGTTGTACAGAGGTACCTCGGTACTCAACTGCTCTGAAACTCATCGAATTTGGTATTCAACGCATTTTGGTGCAAAAACTTTGTCCCGGTACTCATCGTTTGTTTGGTACTCGATGCACAAGCTAGAACTTGTCGATGTTGGCTGCCTTATTCCTTTTGGGAAAAATTTGGCTTGGTACTCTTCGTTTTTGGTAATCATTGCACCCCCCCTCCCCCGGAACCAATTAACAATGAATACCGAGATACCACTGTATCTGGCACTGAGGGGTAAACCAGGATTGGCAACCCAACTAATTTAGATTCCATAGGTTGTTTCCCCCCTTCCTATATGAGCTTGTCACTTATGCAATATTGTGGTGCAATAAACTGAAACAAGGTTAACAAGGTTAGCACTGAGTCTGTTGGGGAGATGAATAGATTCAGGGGATAAAATAAAAGAAAATAACCCAGTTCATCTGTCTACTGTTGTTACTGGGCACTGCTGAGGTTTATGTAAAATTATTTTGAATATGTACACAAGATAGCAATCAGCGAATGGTCTCCAGCACGAAGTTAGTTAGCTGCATCAGAAGGGAAAAAGAAGATAGAAGGCAAAGGCTGCGTGGCTGGTTGCTTTTTATCCATATACAGAGAGTCCTCGACTTACGATCACAATTAAGACCAAATTGCTCATTGCTAAGCAAAGTTAAGTGAGTTTTGCCCCATTTTACAACCTTTTTTTTGCCACAGCTGTCACTGGAGCTGTTAAGCGAATTGCATGGTCGTTAAGCGAATCCAGCTTCCTCCATTGACCTTGCTTGTCAGAAACGAGCTGGGAAGGTCACAAATGGTGATCACATGACAGGGACAGCGCAACTGGCGTAGCTACCTGCCTGTTGCCAAGTGCCAAAATTTTTGATCGTGTGACTGTGAGGACGAGGATGCTGCAACAGTCCTGAAGTGTGAAAACTGGTCGTCGGTCCAGTTAACTTTTTTTAGATTAGATTTTATTAGATTTATACCCCGCCCTTCTCCTTCTCTCTTTGAACGGTCATTAAACGAATGTTGTAAGTCAAGGGCCACCTGTAATAATACCTTTTGATGCGTTAAAGAGCCAGGGAAATAGCCTCGAAGTGAAGCCTCAGAAACCATTCGGTAAACAGACAGAACCGCTTCTTAAAGGGAAGGGAGATGAGAAGGCCCCGGCTGACTCCTCTCTGATTCGATGGAAGGTAAAAAAGGAGGGAAGGTAAAACTTGGGAAGATGTGCAAAATTTTGTTACTGCCTGTTGGGAAACTGCCAGCCAGATTGGAAGGAGGAGTCAAACAAGGGCCTAGCTTGGAGTCCTTGCATAGCCACAAGTGTCATAGGCTTGACCTCCTCCCCAAATCCATAAAGCCTTACCTGGTTGTTCCCAGGGGATGCCAAGCAGTCTGGGAAGATTCTTGTAACGTAGGTGGTAGGCAATAAAGTTAGGGACTTCGGCTGTTCACGTGTGACTCCGGTTGTTTACACCTGACACTTCTTCAATACTTTTCTGCATTCCTATGGAAGGCTGTCTCCTGATCTGGTCTACCTGGAAGGGCTGACGGGTTCTTATCAAAACACAACAACGAAGTCCCCGTTCTCTTTGGATTTCAGCGCTATCGTTTGGATCAGAGCGAACCAAAGAATAAATCCAGAAAGCTCTGGCCGTTCTGGTTGCAAAACCCAATTTAATAACCAACACATACAAAATAAACAAGAACACAGATCACTTCGGTACTACAGAGTGAATCAAAACGCAGTTGTACAATATCAGTCACAGAAAAAAGATACGAAATACAATGGCAATTCTCACTGATTGGTCTACTTTATCCTCCTCCAAAAAAAAAAAATTAGTATTAACAGAACTCTACAAGACACAGCTGGGGAGGGATGGAGAGAGAGAGAGAGAGAGAGAGAGAAAGAGAGAGAAAATTAGAGTATCATAACATTTCAATTGAACAAGACATACAACTAAATACGATAGGCAGAGAATGTGATTTGTAAGTTAAATCAACTGTTAAGTTACCCGTTAAGGTTACACCTTCAAATCTGGAAGTTAATCCTCTGAATCAACCTGTTCTGTACTGAACACCATAACATCCTTCTAGTTGGGAGGATTACATTCCAGAAACCATCCTCGAAACAGCCTGATCAGGAGATCTTGCACAAACTTAAAAAAACATACTTCCAAGTCTTTGTATCTAAAATTGAATGCAGTCTTAATTCGTTAAGGCACGTATGATGGGTTAAGAGTTGTCCGGTGCGATATAATATTGAGTTTTTTGTTTAATTTGTACTGGCACAGAAGCGCCCCAAAATACCTACTACAAATGGCTAAAGCTGACATCAGAATAAGTTGATCTGTGAGATGCTGTATTATTATTATTTGTTTCTGTTGCAACAAAGATGGTTAATACTTCTTGGAACAGAGATACTAGGATGCTAAAATGTATTGCAACAAACTGCTGGCACCAACAGTAGTTCTACCATCTTAACTTTTCCCTTATTTCTTGTAAATTTTACGACTCTCACTGTCCATGGTGTCACAGTGAATCCCCTGCCTTCTACCTTATCAGCTTTTCCTAGAGTTAACGCGGAAGCTGAGGACATGATCGTGTCAAAATTATACAATGAATTTAACTACTTGTAATGAAGGGGGGGAGGGTTTCTTTTCTTAAGGGCCCCGCTGCGTCACCCCGGATGTCAACTCCTGGCCTTCAATACTGTAGTGAGGGATGGATGATCTTTTCCGATGTAAGCTGGCCTCTCCATTGTTAACTCAGACCCAGGGATGCCAAAGCTAGGAATCGTTATCTATTGGCAGCATTAAACATAATTTTTACAAGAAACCTGATTTTTTTTTCCTCTCCGTTTTCCTGGCATCCAGTAGTTTTAACAGCATCCTTACCCTGAAACTGCTCCTTCCCAGTTTACCACTGGAGGAAATCCATGCTCAAGGTTTTCTCTTCCTTCTTCGGTTCGTTTTTCAAGTGCTTGATGGGCCACTTAATCTTTATCATCGGTTCCATTTGCTCCTGAAGGCGATGGCGCTTCATGTGAGCGTTCCGACTTTTTATCTTGTCAAACACTCTAGAGGCAAAATAGAGACAGCACTCTTCAGTTGTACAGTTGTCTCTCTCACAGACAGACAGACAGACAGACAGACAGACAGACAGACAATTACCAGATACAGGGCACGTGTAACACCACTTCTGCGTGAGCTGCATTGCTTACTGGTGTGTTTCTGGGTGCAACTCAAGGCGCTGGTGGTTATCTTTAAAGCCCTGCATGGCTTGGGACTGGGGTACCAAAGGGATCACTTTTTCCCCCCCCCCAAGACCCTCTACCCATCCAACTAGATCGAGCAGAACAGACAGGTTGCAGATCCCGTCAGCCAAAGAATGTCGGCTGTCAGGAACTAGAAGCAGGGCCTTTTCTGCAGTGGCCCCTGCTCTATGGAACATCCCTCTCTTTGGAAATTAAGAACGGCTCCAACCCCGTTAGCCTTTTTTAAAGGTCCTAAAAACCTGTCTGTGTTCTCGAGTCTGGAGTGCTCGCTGTATTGTTAACTGGCCAAGTGTCTTGGCTGCTCTTTTTGGATATTTCGGATATTTTAATTTTTTTTATCGTTTTTTTTTTTTGAATTTGGTATTTCAAATGTAAAATGTGTTTTTTTTTTAATTATAACCTGACCAGAGTCATTGAAAAAGGCGGGAGGCAAAAATAAAATAAAATAAAATAAAATAAAATAAAATAAAATAAAATAAAATAAAATAAAATAAAATAAAATAAAATAAAATAATAAAATAAAATAAAATAAAATAAAATAAAATAAAATAAAATAATAAAATAAAATAAAATAATAAAATAAAATAAAATAAATAAAATAAAATAAAATAAATAAAATAAATAAAATAATAAAATAAAATAAAATTAAATTAAATTAAATTAAATAAAATAATAATAATAATAATAATAAAAATAAAAATAAAAATAATAATAATAATAATAATTAATAATAAAAGTAAAAATAATAATAATAATAATAATAATAATAATAATAATAATAATAATAATAATAATAATAATAATAATAAAAGTAAAAATAAAACAAAACAGGCTCTCTCTTGGCTCCAGCTTTTTCTGATGCTCGTGGACCAATGGCCATCAGATGAAGGCAAAACTTTCTCAGATGTCCCAGCAAATGACCGTAACGTGACAAACAGGGAAGCGGGGAGCGTTTTTAGAGATTAAGCATTATAACCAAACATGATGGCAAAACATCAAAAGGTTGAACAAGCTGCAGTACTACCTGGGACACTCTTTACAAGGGAATACACCCTGACTGCCTGTGCTTCTGGGTGTATCTAGAACGTCCTTCTGGCTGCTGGTTGGGCTGAAGGCCCCATGCGCTGCTTTTTTGTAACTCCTTGATTTCAGCTTATTCTCCTGTTCAGGCAGGTGGCAGTGCCTCTTCTTGGGGCTGCATACAATCTGCAAGTCATGGAACATCCGTGGGTTGCTTTAATTACTCGCAGCTCATTTGCTTTCCAATGATAAACGTTACTTGAGAAATGTTCAGATAGACCCTTTAATTAAAAGCACCATCGCCCCAAACTATTATTCAATAGATCCATACAATAACCCTAAAAAGCCATGTGAAAACCAGCAAGGAAGACCATTCTGGCCATCATTAGCTTATGACCTTAACGGAGCCTGGAATTATGGTCATTAAGTTGTGCCGGTTGTTAAAGGGGCCGTCATGGGCCTGACCCGACTTTATGACTTTTTGCGCGGTAGTCAGTAAGTGAATCTGCAGAATACCCTGGTTGTTAAGTGGACCCCATTGTCCACAATGTCTGTTTTTTGCCAAAAACCAAAAGTTAACGTTGGTTTCTGGCAAAAAAAAACAAAACAAAGTCATACATCTCAGTCACATGACTGAGATAATGCCAAACACCCAAAATGGAATCATGTGGCTGGGGGGCTCCCAGGCTGTTGGAACTTCTAATCTGGGTTGTAAGTACCATTTGGGAGAGGGGGTGTCTGTCATAACTGAACTGTCGCTAAGTAACCGGTCATAACTCGAGAACTACCTGTAAGGGAGAGGACCACAACATGACCCAAGCAAAGCTGAAACCATTACATCAAAGCCATAGCGAAAGACTGATCTTAAGATAAATTAATTTGAGAAGAGGACGCTAAGCAAGTCTCTTTGGGAAAATGGACTTCCTTTTCACCCCACTATGTTCTGGCAAAGCCAACCAAGTGTTCTGAAAGCACTTTCACACAAGAAGCGTGCCAAAAAACACAATATAGAGCCCGTGCAATAAAAACATTAATGCGATGCATCTATCAATCTCTGCAGACGTGAACGTAGTTGTCAGGAGCAAAACAGAGATTAAGCTGAATCACACGACTGGCTTAGTACTTAATAAAATAAACGGCAGACTGTGTGAATGGGGGATTTGGTCCACTGCTACCTGCTACAGTCCTGTTTTTATTCAGGACGGTTAACAGGTGCGAAGAACACAAAGCTTGTTTCCTGTCGATCCCAGGGAAAAAAGCGGAAGAATACAATCATCAAATCCTGTGCTTATCTGCCACACAGGTGCACCAGTATCAGAATCATTTGTACATCAACCAATCAATAAATCAGGTAAGGGCATTCTTACAATAGCCAGATGGGTTTTGCATTTCACAGTTTTGTTGATTGCGGGATCCAATCTGGGTCGGATTGTGCTTTGGGCTCTTGTGTGGGGTGTGAGGTATTTAATAGCCCAATGCGCGCACACTGCTAGAGAGAAGTTCCCCGAGGACGGCACCAGCACGAGTCCAAAAATTCGGAAGACGAGACCTCTGGTCCCGGTGACTGATCCAGATTGGATCCTGCAATATTATTATCCCGGGACATGTATATTCATCTTCAATTTTGTTTCATGTTTGGAATAGGGCTCTAGGACAGGGTTCGGATTCCCGAAAGCCTCCATTTTTATTTTAAGGATTAAAAAAAAAAAAATCAAGTCGCCAACTATTTTGGAAAACTGCAGTCTTCAAATGGGTACAGTAGAGTCACTTCCAATTTAGGAGGCGGTCACTGCGCTTAATAGTTATGAGCAGAGAGCCAGAAAAGCAACTGCCACAACTTTTAACCTGAAAGTCAACAAGCTGCAATGGTGTGGAAAGAACCACTTCTCAGATTGCAAAATACAAATACGGAAAAATGCCATGAATTTTTACAGACAAATATTTATTCCGACAGCTTCAGGAAAGGGAAAGAGAAACAGACCGGGGAAATCTCCTCCTGCATTGACCCTGAAAATTGGCTGCAGTTTTCTAAAGTAAGCAGCGGGTACAGCAAAAGGGGGGAGGGGGGAAATTGTAGCTTTTTAAAAATCCTAAATCTCAGCTGTCGTCCCCAACCAACTTTTCAAGCTTGTTCTACCTTTTCTTCATCCAATTCTAGCTCATCCTGCTCAGTCCTGGCTCTCTTTTCTCCCACTGGCGCTCGGTTGCAGTCGAATTTTAATATTTTTTTCCAACTATAGTAGTATTCGACACACTGAGAAACAGTCTTAGTCTGTATCTGTTGGAGGAGGAGAAGGAGGAAAGAAATAATTTCAATACGGGCAAAACAGGAGGAATCGTTTGAAACTGCTAAACCAAACAAGATGCAACTGCTGTCTTTCTCGGCACATTTTCCATCTTCAAAAAAGATCTGAGATCAGATTGCGATTCAGGCACAGACAGTCCTCAACTTACGACCAGAACTGAGCCCAAAATTTTCACTGCTAAGCAAGACAAGTTGTTTAGTGAATTTTGCCCCATTTTACGACCTATCTTGCCACAGTTGTTAAGTGAATTGTGGCAGTTGTTAAGTTAGTAACCCGGTTGTTAAGTGAATCCCCTTGACTTTGCTTGTCTGAAGGTCACAAAAAGGGATCACGGGACACAGCAACTGTCGTAAGTACGAGCCAGTTGCCAAGCGTCTGAGTTTTGATCATGTGACTGTAGGGAGGCTGCGATGGTCGTAAGTGTGAGAAACGGTCCTCAGTCATTTTTTTTTCCCCAGTGCCGTTACAACTCTGAATGTTTGCTGAACGAATAGTCGAGGTCTACTTGTGACAGAAAATAACCTCAACTACTCCAGTGTAAATGAGCACTGAGCTGTGCAGCCTTGGAACAATTAATGGGCTGTAAAGGGAAGGAAAAAAAGCTAGAATATTCCAAACAGAGGACATGTTTTTTCAAAGAGGAAATGAAAGCTGCCCTTTGTGAAAGGCTACCTTCTTCTGTATGAGGTAGAAGTCCTTCTTGTGCAAGGCAAAGGCTTTTTTGAACAACTGCTTCTCAGCAGGAGTCCACAGATGTGAACCTGGAATTCCAAGAAGAAAGAAATTAGCAATAGAGGCAATCCGTTTAACGGCCTGTCGCCCCTGTGAAATGAACCTCTTTTATTGCCTCCCTTTGGCTTATTTTTGCCAGGCAAACAGGAGCATCCTGAGGTAAATCACAGAGCACACAGGAGCATCCTGAGGTAAATCACAGAGCACACAGGAGCATCCTGAGGTAAATCACAGAGCACACAGGAGCATCCTGAGGTAAAACACAGAGCACACAGGGCACACGAGGGGGGGAAAAGAGAAATTCCCTCTCCATATCCACAGCAACCCAATCAACCACAATTGTGTGTTCTCGCACACTGCAGCTTCTAAATTTAAATATCTTAACACCATGGTTATATCCTGACCAAGTGAGGTCACCGTCGTTTACCTGAGTAATGGTAGTTAGCAAGAGGATGGCCAGGAGGCTTCTGTGGCCCTTGGAGTAGCATCATCTCCAGCGCTTCCTAGAATGGTTTTAGAGAAGACTCTCATGAACTCTTGTTGAATAGAAGCAGTCGGGGAAATCTTAGATCAGGAGTGGGGAACCTTGGCTCTTTTATGACTGGTGGACTTCAACTCCCAGAATTCCTGAGCCAGCATGGCTCCAGCATGGCAACCTCTCCCTTTCCCCTCAGCACGGCTGGCTCAGGAATTCTGGGAGTTGAAGTCCACGAGTCATAAAAGAGCCAAAGTTCCCCACCCTGTTTAGATGATATGGGCGTATGCACTATGCTAAGCTTTAATATGATTCATTTGCTTTTGGGTTATTACACGTGCCATCAACCACTATGTTTAATATACCACAATATGGCGCAGTATTCTGAATGCAGCTGGCTAAAACGGCCTGTTTAACAAACCAGGTTTCCTGCAATGTGTGCCCCCAACCAACGATTCCTAATCGCTCTCTGCAAGAAGCGGCCTTACCATTAGGTGACTCCCTAGAATTGTTCATTTGAAAGAGGAAATAGGGTTTTTCACATGTGGCAAAAAAAAGCCTCCATCTTACCAAAATGTTTCCTTGGGCTTCATGGAGACAATGTATGGCTAGTTCCAAATTGGTCCCTCCGCCTGGCATCGCACTGGAGCAGGCCAGCTTTAGCAGATCTGCCACTGCAAAAGGATTTGTTTTTAGAAGGATAATTTGTTTTAAGGAGACGTCAAGTTCTGCTCGATTGCAATTACAATAGCATGCAGATAGTCCTCAACTTACAACAGTTTCATTTGGTGACGGTTCAAAGTTACAACAGCCACTGAAAACGGTGACTTATGACCGCTTTTTCACACTTACGACCGTGGCAGCATTCCCAGGGTCAGGTGATCCAAATTCAGACGCTTGGCATCTGACTCCTATTTATATCCTGGAGTCATGCAATCCCCTTTTGCGACCTTCGGACAAGCAGAAGCCGGATTCACTTAACAACCGTGTTACTAACTTAACAATTGTAGTGATTCACTTAACAATTGTGGCAAGGAAGGCTGTAAAACGGGGCAAAACTCACTTAACAAATTTTTTCACTTAGCAATGGAAAAAACTGGGGCTCCATTGGGGTCGTAAGTTGAGGACTATCTGTAGAAGTAAAAGAAGAGTCTGCATGTGGGGTGGGAAGAGCCTCGAAAAGAGGCAAAACTGTTGTCGCACCTCTTTTTTGGGTTTCCTTATTCGTGACGATGTCTCCCCAGGGCTTCCAGACAAGTGAGGCTGGGTGCTCATAGTCCTCTAGATTTGATCTGTCTTGGAGATCCGGGATCTCCGCCTGGAACCGGCTCCCAATGTTAATGTGCCTGAAATGACAGAAAAGAGATGTAAAACCCAGAAGAATAGTTACGGCAGCCCAAATATCGTGCTTGCTACAGATCCTTAAAAAGGGGGAGAACGTAAGATGTTATTGTGTCCATTGATTAAGAACTGTCGTCATTTCACTTACGGTTCTATGTTAATTTTGGTAGTATCTTTCACAAGGGAGAATAGAAAGGCTCCATCCATTCCATCTAAAAATAAAAGCACAAGTTAAAAAGCAAAATCAACTTTTAGGAATCCTTTTGTCAGCTGCAACCTTGGCAGCAGGACGAAGGGTGGGACCCGTACGTTTTTTTCTATTTCTCACTGCTCGTTTACAGGTTCAATCACAAAACTTTCTCAAAATTATTTAAAAAAAAAACCAAAACCCCCAAAGGACAAAAACAAAAAAAGAGAGATAAAAATGCAGGTGTTCAGTGAGGCTAGACCATTTTCAATATTTATAAACTTTATCGGCCGCCCTACTTTACCACAGGGTAACTGTTATCAATAGCGATGATAAATAAAGTTTACAGAGATAGACAGAACTATACTCTTCTTGGGGGGAGAAATAAATGGAGAGAGAGAGAGAGAGAGAATGACAGAGAGAGAGACAGAGAGAGAGAGAGAGAGAGAGAGAGAGAGAATGACAGACAGACAGAGAATGACAGAGAGAGAATGACAGAGAGAGAGAGAGAGAATGATAGAGAATGGCAGAGAGAATGAGAGAGAGAGAGAATGACAGAGAATGACAGAGAATGACAGACAGACAGAGAGAAAGAGAATGACAGAGAATGGCAGAGAGAATGAGAATGACAGACAGACAGAATGACAGAGAGAGAATGACAGAGAATGACAGACAGACACAGAGAGAGAGAGAATGACAGAGAATGGCAGACAGAATGACAGAGAGAGAATGACAGAGAATGGTAGAGAGAATGAGAGAGAGAGAATGACAGACACAGAGAGAATGACAGAGAGAATGAGAGAATGACAGACAGACAGAGAGAGAGAGAATGACAGACAGAGAGAGAGGCAATACAAATAGTGCATTTATTGGGCAGTTTTATGCAAAGGAGGTGTCAGGAGGCTGAGGGCTGGGTAATTACCTAAAACAGAGGTGTACATCGAGGCAGGAGTGGGATTTGTAGAAGCAGAGCAGAGAGTGTTGAAGTAGAGCCCGGAGCCCTCCCGAATGGGGCTGAGCATTGGGGGTGGTGTGTACGGAGAGAACTGCATTAAGCCTTGAAGAAAATGGTCCATGAGGAAGACAGGTGAGCGAAGGTTACTCTGGTAGCATCCTCCGGGACCAGGCTGAATCTCACTCCCAGCAGGTGAAGGAGGCGGGATGAGCAGGGATTTGGGATGAGCCCTCTTCTTCTTCTTCTTGGGGGGCATGCCTTCCTGAAGATCTTTATCATCCTGGCTTTCCTTCTCGTTCACCTTACCCAAGAGAAAAGGAGCCCAGCTTAGATTGATTAGCTGGAAGAACAAAAAATCAAGGCGGCCTGCATGGTGGTGTATCCTTAAAAGGAGTACGGCATCTTTGTCCCAACTATTCAAGCTATCAACGACTACGAGAATCACGGTGTTTTGTAAGTGGGAATGCTACACGGCAGGGATCCCGCGACTATAGGATCCAGTCCAGCCTCGGCTTTGGTTTCTCTAGAATCAAGTGTACCCAGGTTGTCTCTTACACTGTCAAACAGCTTTGACTTAAGGAGTTCCTACTATTTCTTTTTTCTTTTTAACGACCCTGTAATCCCTCGCATTGGGGTGGAGTCAGGGCGACTGAATGGAGCTTAGCGTTTACTGGCTGGATGCCCTTCCTGATGCCTACGCGGAGTTCGCAGCAGGCATTTTCTCTTTGTGCCCAGAGAGAGAAATATCTGCCGTTACGTAGGATTGAACACGCAGCCTCCCGATTGTGAGGTCACCACGCCACGCTAAGAAGTTTCTCCAATGATTAGTCAAAATCATTTTCCTTACGTGTTTTATGCTAGTTCTAATGCTGCTCTCCCGAATAACAGAACATTTTATCAGGCTGTCAGCCGCCCTGAGTCCGTAAGGAGAAGGGCGGGGTAAAAATTTAATTAAATAAATAAATAAATAAATAAATAAATAAATAAGTCTGCTTCAGCTTTTATGATGTGTCTTAAAATTGTTTCATTTAATTGTATCCCACCTTAATTTTTACAAATAACTCATTCACTATATCCAACACACTGTCCTCTTCCTATTTTTCCCCACAACAAGCCTGTCAGGTGGATTGGGTTGAGTCACCCAGCTGGCTTTCACGCCTAAGGCAGGACTAGAACTCGCCGTCTCCTTGCGAGTCGCCCAAACTCACCCAACTGGCTTTCGGGGCTGAGGCAGGACTAGAACTCACCGTTTCCTGCTTTCTACCCCAGTGCCTTAATCCTTAGATCAAACTGGCAAATTATGTTTCTTTCTCAAACCTACACCTACACATACCCAAACCATCACACAATCCCGATAACCAAAGATTTTATTGACATTCGCCTACCAAAGCAAACGACAACCAAGATCTAGCCATAGCAGCCAATATATCGAGTTTGATATCGTATTAAATGTTCTCTCCCCCAGAGAATCCCAGGAATTGTAGCCTGTCAGAGCTATTCAGAAAATCCTTTATCTGTACTGCCTTGCCCATGCCCAGGGGGTTTCAGAATCTCAACAGTGAATAACCGTAGGGGGGGAGATCAATAGCCAAATAAAAAAGAATTACTGCTAGTCTAGTTTTCATTTTTTTAAAAAAATACTTTAAAGAAGGTTGGAAGCTGCAATCCTGAAGGGAAACTGAAAATGCCAACTCCGTTGGCGACGGGATTGTGACATCACTATACTGTTCTTCCAGCTACAGCATTTCTATCTATAAATGTTGACTTAAGGCAGGGGTGGGGGAACTATGGCCCCTTTATGACATGTGGACTTCAACTCCCAGAATTCCTGAGCCAGCATGGCTCAGCATGGAAACCTCTCCCTTTCTCCTCAGCTATGGCTGGCTCAGGAATTCTGGGAGTTGAAGTCCACGAGTCATAAAGGGACCACAGTTCCCCATCACTGACTTAGGACTTCACTTTCTCACCTAGCATTAATTAATAAGACCTAGTGCTGCCTAATCTAGAGAGCCTTGGAAAGGCACCATTTTGTAGTTTTACCTATTAAACGACTATAAAATGGAGGCTTCTACTCCTCCACTGTTATTTTACTCAGCAGCCGTCCTACCATATCTGCCGAGAAGGCGATGGTTCCAGTTTCCTTTAGGAAGGACAGAAGAGACACTGAGAAATCCCTGCGTAGGAATTGAAGAAGCCGAGATCCAACCGAAAGGAGAAGCGATGGCCTACGTGTGGCCAGCTTCCTTTAGGGTTTGACTTGTGACATAAACATGGCTGAGCTCAAATCAGGATGCTGGTGAGCTGCATCACAACTGGGTCATAGATTAGGTAGCTTGAGGCAAATCACTATGTCTCAATCGTTTCCCAGGCAAGCTCCATCTGCAGCGTGGGCACAGCCAGCCTTACAGGCATATATATCCCTTACAAGATAGCAATAGTATTTAACGTTTAGACTTCTATACCACCCCATAGTGCTTTACAGCACTCACTGAGCTTCATACGTTATCTTGCCCTGGTGGCGCAATGGTTAACTGAAGTACTGCAGGCAAACTCAGCCTGGAGTTCGATCCTGACAAAGGTCAAGATTGACTCAGCCTTTCATCCTTCCGAGGTTGGAAAAATGAGGACCCAGATTGTTGGGGGCCATATGCAAATAATGCTGACATTGTAAACCACCCAGAATAACAGAATTAACAGAATTGGAAGAGACCTTGGAGGTCTTCTATTCCAGCCCCTGCTCAAGCAGGAGACCTTATACTCTTTCAGACAAATGGCTGTCCAATCTTTTCTTAAAAGCCCCCAGAATTGGATCACCTACAACTTCTGGAGGCAGGTTGTTCCGCTGGTTAATTGTTCTCACTGTTAGGAAATTTCTCCTTAGTTCTAGGTTGCTTCTCTCCTTGATTAGTTGTCCTGCCTTCACAATAATGAACAGCAGGAGGGGCACTGCAGCGGCCATAACTGAAACTGGGTCTTCAGTATCTCTGTTGTAACTTTGAACGGCTGCTAAATTATCAGTCATAAGTTGAGAACTACCCATGTTACAAAGTAATAAGGCTATTGGCCTAGTTTAAGTCTGGAACTCTACTGCAGATATGTTTATGTCCCTGAAGACACAGCAAAGCCCAAATATTTCTAACAATTCCAGCACATTTGGGAGGTTTAACTCTTCGTTGCTTGTATCTTACGATTTATATTGTTTTATTTAGTATCCTAGTATGATTTATGTTGATTGCTTATTTAATACCCTATATCACTGAGTGTTGTATCTTATGATCTATGATGAATAAATTTTATGATTATAATCATGATTTAATAGCTTGTTGCTTGTATCAACACTGAGAGCTTCTGCACCGGAGACAAATTCGTTGTGTGTCCAATCACTCTTAGCCAATAAAGAATTGAATTGGAATTGGAATTGGAATTGAATTCTATTCTATTCTATTCTGTTCTGTTCTGTTCTTCAATCCACTATTCTATTCTATTCTATTCTTATTCTTATTCTATTCTTATTCTATTCCTGTACACCATGCAATCAGCTATAAGGTATGGAAAAACAATGCTCATAAAAAAGAGCCCATAATTCACAACTCTTTGTCTCATTTTATAGACTAAGCAACAAAATAAAACCATAAATTTCTAATTCTTCAAAACAGCTAATTCTGTACAGACTGCTGCACGACATGTCAAGTTCCATGAATTGCTGCATTAACCAGAACTTAAAAACAATTAATTTATCTTTGCAGCTTAAAATTAATAAAATACAAACCACCACCCACTTGCTGTTGGTGGGCAGCCATTATGGGCACAGAGACAGGCATGACTATAGGGGCCACAGCTCCCTCTTCTGAAGACCTGTTCATTTCGGGAGGGACAGCTCTGTCTGCAGCTGCCAGGAAGGGCCACTTCTGAAGCTGGAACTGCTCTGCCTCATAGGCCTTAAGGGAAATAGAAAAAAAAAAGAAATATATATTCTAGCAACAAGACTACAAGCGGCAATACAAATGCTGGTTAATTCTTTCAAACTGCGAGTGGTCCTCAACTTACGACTGTTAACGGAGCCTGCCCGTCATGGTCATAAATTGTGAGTTATAAATTTTATGACCTCATGGTGGTGGTCGTTAAATGAGTCACCATGGTCATTAAGCGACTCACTGCTAAGCAAACTCATTGTTTGTTATGGGGCATTTTTGCCCCCAAATCAGAAGTAAACGCCGGTTTTCGGAAAAAATGTCATAAATTGCAGACAGGTGACCGTGGGACTCTCTGCAAATGGCCATAAATGTTGGGGTGGTTGTTGCCTAGTGCCTGAAACACAATGGGGTAACTGGGGGGAGGGGCGTTGTAACTGGGTTGGAAGTACCTTTTGGGGGAACTTTGAACGGTCGCTAAACGACAGGTGGTACGTTGAGGGCTACCTGTAATTTTGTCCCAGATTCTGTATGGGTCTTTCCAAAGGACTTAATCTGGAAATAGATATTTCAAGATTTAAAAACCAGTGGAAAGAAATAATTTTTTTTGTTGCTTTTCTTTCTACAACCTGGTAATTCCTTAATTTGGGGTAGAATTCTGGGTGACCAAATGGGGCTGAGAGTTTACTAGCCGGATGCCCTTCCTGATGCCTACGTGGAAGTTCAGTTTGCAGCAAGTATTTTCTCTTTGTGCCCTAAGGGAGAAACATCTGCCGCTACTAGGATTGAACTGGCAGCCTTCCGAGTGGGAGGTGAGAGTCCTCCCCACAAGATCACCACGCTACCCTGGAAAGAACTACCAAATGAAACAAAAAAAACCAACCCAAAATGGTTCACATTCCCCCTTTCAAAGCTGTTATAGCTGTAATCCTAGATACATTTAACTGGAAGTTAAATTTCATTATATTCAATTCTAATCATACCTTCCCGGAAGCCAACCCTAAGTAATAACCATGCTGGGCTACGTTCAGATAAATAGCCAAAAGACTGGGTTGTGGATTAATAATTATTAGCATTTATATAGCAATTTCTCAACATTCAAAGCCTTTCACACACATGAGGTGCAATTATCTTATTGAAGATAGCTTCGTATCCCCACTGGCATGTTCAGCATCCTTTTTAATGCAGTAGGTTGTTTTTCTCTACACGGATTATTAGCTGCCTGGAGCTTTTACCGGTAAAAAAACAAACAAACAAAAAAGCTTGATAGCAAAGGAGTTCTACAGGGCAACAGTCTAGGAAAAAAGGACCAAAGGAGCACTCCGTCCTTAGCATGTCAAAAGATGACATTTTATCTCGCTGAAGGCATCCTGGCAATGTTTCGAGTTTTAAAAAATAGCTCTGCTCAGAAATAAGAAGTGTAGTACGCAAACGTCTTCCGGAAACGTTAAGGGAAGATCTGGTGATCAAAGGTAAGGAATGCAGTGAGCAGAATACCAATAACAGAGAACATTTGTAGCTCAAGGTTGAACAGTGGGGTCCTTGGTGGTTTTCTTGCAGATGTCTCATGACCCATCTAGGTAACATCATCAGTGCTAGAAGAGAGGGTGGTTTATGGAGTGGAGGAAGACTAGGGTCCTCGGTGCTCTCTGAGCTTGGTGGTTTTCTTGAAGACATTTCATGACCTAACTAGGTAACATAATCAGTGCTAATAGGGAGTGCGGTTTGTGGAGTGGAGGAGAAGGTGGGAAGAAGGAAGAAGGGGGAGGAGGATGAGGAGGATGTCAACGACTGTGGGGTCCTCTTTGAGCTTGGTGGGTTTCTTGCCGACGTTTCATGACCCAGCTAGGGAACATCATCAGTGTTAGACAGGAGTGGAGTTTATAAAGACAAAATCAGAAATGAGGTGAGAAGCCGCCTGGGAAAGGCAAGGGAAATCATCAAAACAATTAAAAAACAAAAATTAGAATATTTCGGACATGTGATGCGACACCCAGAAAAACACGGCATACTCCATTTAATCCTCCAGGGAAAGATTGAAGGCAAACGAGGTCCAGGCAGAAGAAGAACATCATGGCTTCAAAATCTAAGGGGCTGGTTTGGACAAAACTCAGCAGCACTTTTTTGTGCGGCTGCTGATAAAAACAGGATCGCCAACGTCCGATAACGGATATGGAGGAGGAGGAGGAGGAGGAGGAGGAGGAGGAAGAAGAAGAAGAAGAAGAAGAAGAAGAAGAAGAAGAAGAAGAAGAAGAAGAAGAAGAAGAAGAAGAAGAAGAAGAAGAAGAAGAAGAAGAAGAAGAAGAAGAACAAGAAGAAGAACAAGAAGAAGAAGAAGAAGAAGAAGAAACAACCCCATTCCTTTCTAGCACTGATGACACTCCCTAGCGGGGTCATGAAACATCTGCAGGAAAACCACCAAGTTCAGAGAGCACCAAGGGCCCCACAGAGAGCAGAATCGAGACGAAGACTGACCAAAACATTTGAGATTCATTCTCCGCTAGGACCTCCTCCTCTTTATGCGCGACTCCGGCATCGGCGGTAACAAACATTCATTTACCAAGGTGATTTTTTTTTTCCTTTTACCTGCTGCTTTTCCTTCCCTGACGGAGACTGCCACTGCTCACCATAGAAACACATATGACTGTTCAGGCCCCTTTCGGTATAAAACAGCTGATGGCAGGTTGCACAGCGAAAGCTGTTCCCTTTCTCATTCCTGTCTCCAAGATCTGCCTCAGTCTTACTACTGTTGGCAACAATCGATGTAAGTTTAAGGTGAGAAACGTAGTTTATTAGAAAGCTTGAATTTCTATGTTATGATTTGTACTCCAACCATGTTACAACCCTAACTAGGTTCTGGTACTTCAGAGATCCAGCCTGGGAGGGGGGTGGGGGGGAAAGTCCTTCCATGGATCATTTGCCACTGAACCGTTAACTGGGGAAGGAACCTCACTGGGGCATCATACATAAAGAAGGGCCGTCCAAGAGATAATAACCAGGAAGCAGAGAGCTGCAGAGGGCCAGCCCAGTCGGATTTAGCCTTTTCTTGGTGTGCCTTCTTACAAATCACTTTTGAAGTGCCATCTTTGGAAGTGCCGATCCTCTGCCTGCTTCCTGAGTACGGTATCTTCCCCATATATGTACTGAACTATAATCTGTTAAATGCTGGAGGCTTATTTACCTAACTCGGTTTTATTAGCGTGAGGAACAGAAACCTCATTATTTGCATAAGCTTTCCGCCTGGGCTTTCCCAAATTCTGCCTCTGACACACTAACATTAAGTATTATTATTAGTGGGCCAGCTTTTAGCTCTCTTCTGGCTTATTTTTCTGGATACCTTTGTCAGAAGTAATATCAAGGGACGTGGCCAGTACATCTGAAATTACTTGAACAAAAGCAGGAGTGTATCTCTGACTGTTTATCCAACTATGGTGAAGAATATTTGTTTTGTGACTATATTTGCAATTAAGTCTCTCCCCCCCTCTCTCTCTGTATGTATATATGTATGCGTATATATGTATATATGTTGATAGATGACAGATATAGCTATAGATATGTCTGTGTATGTGTGTGTATGTGTATATATATATATATATACACACACATTGGTTGGATGGGGGGGGATTGGTTGGATGGGGGGGGGGGGGATCGATTAGATGGAACGGTGGGACGATTGGGTAGGGCAGCGGATAGGGCAGGGGCAGGCACACGCTCCTGGACAGTCAGTAGTGACAATAAGGAGGAGGCAGTGACGTTGACGATTGAAGATCATGGCTGTGAGATCGCCAGACGCAGAAAGGGAGAGGGGGGAATGCCGGAGGGCGCGAGCCAAGATAGGATACCCCACGGGGCACCCAGGGATGGAGAGGGTGGTGGCCAAACCGATGAGCGGAAATGGGGTGGGGGTGATGAGAAACTCACCTCTATGGGATACCCCAGTGCAAGGAAAAAGAAAAAGGGGGTCGAATGTTCTGGAGGCATGGAACATAGACTCGTTCTTAGCAAGGTAGGGCATGAAGCTAACGTAGGAGCACGGAAGAAAAAAGGGGGGGGGGAGGAAAGTGAGTAACAAGGTGTATGAGGATAGGAGTAGCGAGGATAAACTGGCTAATGATACAGAAACTGCGACCGGAACATCGATTGGCCCCGTGGCGGCATCCAGGGGCCGGGCGCAAAAACAACTTGGTCATGTATAAATAAGCGCTCCCATCAACCTGGATTGATCCCTGATGATGCTGGCAGTGGCCGGCGAAAGCTAGGATTTTAACTTATTAAAACTTTTATAGTTTTTAAACCTTTCCTGGTGTTCACGCTTTTTATCTCTCGTCATGAGTGCACCCAGGAATCATCCTTCTATTTTTAGTACGGTTTTTAATATGTATGTATGTATGTATGTATGTATGTATGTATGTATGTGTGTGTACGTGTGTGTGTGTACGTGTGTGTATATACACATACACATGCACCCACACACAGACACGTACGCACACTAATATTTTTGGCAGGATTAAAGCATAATAAACCCCTTCTTACCATCCAGGGGAAAAGCATTCCTCTTTGACCGCATTCGTAAAGCTGTAGATATTTCCACCCTGTGTTTTTCAAAAAAAAGAAAGGAAGGAAGAAATTAAACGCATATACAAATAGGTTTCTTTCGTCTACAAATGAGGCCTATTATTCAGAAGCTTATTCTGATTTCTAAAAAAAGAAGCCTTTAAAAACTTGCCTGAATTCTGTTGAAAATCGTCAGCTTGGGCTTCCCTCTGGACCCGCTATCAAATGAGGTACTGGGCAAAGAAAAGGAAGCCATGGCGACTTGGCTGGGAGAAGCCATGGATGCGATGTCAAACTTGGGTTTCTCCTTCCGGCGGGGTCTACCGCTGCGAGAGTGTCCCTTGCTGCCCAACTCTTTAGGGCAGGCCTTGGTCTTCTCTCTCTTTCTTGGCAAAGGGGAGTCTTTTTCCAACTGCCTTGGCTTCCCATAAGTGTGGTTTCCTGGGGTGTTTTCATACGAGGCGGACTGACTAGGGCTGGGAAACTCTTTACACTCTAGACATCTTTTCAAAGGCCGGGGGTGCTTCGCGTGAGAAATGCCGCTCGCGGTTCCAGAGGGCGCGGCAGACGACGGAAAAGACGGCAGAGGCAGCTTTTCGAGATCCGATGGAAAGTCTGCTTGAAACGGAGTCAAAGGAGGCCCGTCGTTCCCCACCGGCTGCGCCGCCGGGCGACCCAAATCTTTCTGCTGCTGAAAGCCATGGGGAGCTGACTTGGCTCCCCCCGGGTCGACCCCCGCAGCTGCCAGCTTGGACGGAGCCAGCACCTTGGTGTGGGACACGATGTGTTGAGATTTGGTGATCCTCTGGAAAAGATGACTCTGGACTTGCACCTGGTCCTGGTTCAGACAGGATTCCTGGGGTTTCGCGAAGAGAGGCCGGAAGAGTGGCGCGGCCTCGCCCTTCTGGAGGAGGCTATGCTTTGGGACGTCCGAAAGTCTGGCCGCTGGACTAAAGGTCTCTTCAAAGCATCTGAGTTTGGCCTCTGCAGAAGCTTCCCCTTGGGTCTTCAAAGAAGCCGGGGGGAACGGTAAAACATCTGGACACTCGAAGCTGGGTCTCGCGGAGTCAAACGCGTGGGGTGGCCCCACCATCCCTTGAGAAGCCTCATGGCCAGCAGAAGGCAGTTGAGCCATGTAGAGACCATGTCCTTTGGTTTTGGGGCCAACTGGAGGCGCATTTCTGGCCCACGGGACGCTGCCGCTTGGCTGCGGAGTGGTGGTGGGGACCTTTTGGCCTCGGAGTAAGGGAAAACGAGGGACGCCGCTGTTGGACCAATATTCCAAAGCGCTGCTTTCTAAAGGGAGCTCGCGTTCCGAATGGGGAGGCCGGTCGGGGAAATTTGTACGGCTTTCCGAGGGCCCCAGTATCGATAAATTCCCGGTGTTGATGATCGTGTACATGCTGGAAGAAGGCACGTTCTTTTGGCAAGGGTAAATCTCCTTCATGGCTTTCTCGCCGGGGGTTTCTCTGACCGCTGCGGCGCTGGTGGGAAGGCACGAAATCTGGCCGTAGACCGAGCTGCAAGGTTGCAAGGGTCCTCGAGGGTCAGTTTCACTCTGTCCGACAGACGACAACGACGGGGTGGACGGCAGCTTTGGCCCCACCAGGCTACTGACAATACATCTCAGCAAGTCTCGGTTGGGCAGGATGGAATTGTTGGGCCCTGGCGAGTCTGGGTGAGCAGCCAAGCTTTCTGCGGCTCTCAAGCCGGTCTGTCCCATCTGGGCGAGCGAGTCGTGGGAAGGCGTCGTGCTCTCACAGGCTTCCTCGTCTTTCAACAGCCGCAGGCCGTGATGCATTTCGTAATGCCGGCGCAACGATCGATGGTCCGAGTAGCTCTTGTTGCAACCTTGTTCTATGCAAATGAAGGGCTTTGTTTTTTGGTGAGTCAGCATGTGGCCGCTCCTGATGGTTTTTTTAAAATATATATATAAAAAAAAGATTAAACCCATGAAACATGCAAAGAAGGTCTAGGCTTAACTCTCGTTGCTCTCCAATACTAAAATCGCTCCCATCATCGTACACTGAGACCGAGGATGATGCAAGAAAAGGGAGCATTATGGTGTAGCCCAGGGGTAGGCAACCTTGGCTCTTTTATGACTCGTGGACTTCAACTCCCAGAATTCCTGAGCCAGCCATGCTGAGGGGAAAGGGAATTCTGGGAGTTGAAGTCCACCCATCTCTGAGTGGCCAAGGTTGAGAAATACAGGCCTAGGCCAGGGGGTAGGCAACCTTGGGTCTTTTATGACTGGTGGACTTCAACTCCCAGAATTCCTGAGCCAGATTGGCTCAGCATGGAAACCTCTCCCTTTCCTCTCAGCATGGCTGGCTCAGGAATTCTGGGAGTTGAAGTCCACCAGTCATAAAAGACCCAAGGTTGCCTACCCCTGGTGTAGCCTCTCGTCCCGAATGCATCCACTGCATTGGCCAAAAGTACTTCTATGGCTACTGCTTCTTCAGTTGCTTTGACCATAGAAATGGGCAGAACGATAAGGAAGGCAAGGCTGAATGAGCAGTCCCTTCCCAATAATTTTGATTTATAGGGCGGACTACTCGCCCCTGTATTTTTTCAAAAAAGTTTAAATCAAATCAAAGTGACAGAGTCCACCACAGCCTTCTAAAACAATGAGCTTTTTTTTAATCCACAAGGACTTTTCTGTCTCTAAAGCAGAGGTGGGGGAACGATGGCCCCTCTATGACTTGTGGACTTCAACCCCCAGAATTCCTGCTGGCTCAGGAATTCTGGGAGTTGAAGTCCACAAGTCATGAAAGGGCCATCGTTCCCCACCCCTGTTCCAAAGGAAAGTCGTATTAAAAATTTGCTAGCAATTAAGCTTATTTATGGCTTGTCCCGTTGCCAGAACCCATCACTCAACTGCCTCCAAACAGTTAGAAGACACCTGGCCATTTTATGGTCCCCGGGCCGTATCCAGCCCTTTGGCGCTCCCTGTCCAGACTGCGTGGATTTCATTTATTTTTGAAGGTGCCTACTATTTTTCCCCCAATTTATATACGTGCTTGGGGTGCAGACTTGCACACTTTCACAGCCCTCTTGGGTCGGCCCTCCACGAGTCTCACTTTTTCAAATGGCCCCTTGGGAAAATTAATTGCCCCCGCCCCCGAATTAGAGGACTAATTTTTTTTCCCAGGCATTAGAAAATCTGTCTTCTGTTCTTCAGCTGCCCCTTCGTCCCTAGAATCCAGAGCAAGCTAGCGCTGTACGAAACGTGAAAACCTGGCACGCTAGAAAGTTCTACAGTAGCTCCGCTAAGCAGAGCGACTCCTAAACTGGCAGATTTTTGTCTTTTCCAGGACAGGAAAAACGGAATCGCCTCGGACTCTGGAGGGCCCCCTCGTCAGCCCCTGCGTGGCGCTGAGCGGATTTCGCCAGCGACGCTTATTATTTCTAGAGCGCTTCAGTCGTCGGGGTGGAAAAGATACCTACAAGTGATCCTGTCTCTTAAAGGCCTTGCCGCAGATCTTACAGACGTGCTTCCGTTCCTGGCTGTGGGTCACGTAGTGTTTGCTGAGGGAGCTGGTGCTGCTGAAAACCTTCCCACAGAGGCTGCAGTCCAAGAAAGCGGCTTGAAGCGCGTTCTGTTGGGGTCTTCCCTTTTTTCCGCTGCCAGCACCGGATCTGCCTCCTGGCTCCATTTCTTTTGGTGCTGAAGGGGCGGAAAGCCCCAATTCTAAATGAGGAATACCAACTTTTAGTTCACAGGCATGGTCTCGGATGTCCATTTAGGCCAGGGGTAGGCGACCTCGGCTCTTTTATGACTCATGGACTTCAACTCCCAGAATTCCTGAGTCAGGAATTCTGGGAGTTGAAGTCCATGAGACATAAAAGAGCCGAGGTTGCCTACCCCTGGTTTAGGCAGTCCCTGACTTACAACAGTCCGTTTAGTGACAGTTGGACGTTACAACGGCGCTGAAAAAAGGGACTTGGGACCGTTTTTCAGGCTGACGACCGTTGCGGCATCCCTGGGGTCACGTCATCAAAATTCAGAGGCTTGGCAACTGACTCAGCATGAGGAATTCTGGGAGTTGAAGTCCACAAGTCATAAAAGGGCCACGTTTGAAGACCCTTGATCTATACGATGCTGTCCTATCTTGGAGGAGTGTGGTAAAGATTAACCCAAAAAATAAAGGCTTCTGGCATCACAAAAGGATCCCAGAATGTTTCAGATACAACTTTTTGTATCCCGTGTGCCAGAGAAGAAGCAACCTCCGAGACATCAGGGACTGCAAAAATGGCAAGAGAAATTATGCTCATTCCAGGACTGATGACAGTCAAACGTACAAAACAATGTTTGTTTGACCACAAACTAAACCACGATTAACACGTTATACAGGTGGTGTTCATACGACGTGCTAAGCCAAAACAAAGAACCCACATTAGGCCTCACAGGATGGTTTCATGTTACATACGGCATGCCACGCCATACTGTGGTTTGTTTTTTTGCTTAGACCCGGCGGTTTCAAAACCACAGACGAAGGCTTAATATATACATGCAGAACTAAATTCTGGCAATGATTCATTTATTACACTTTGAGGCCTCTTAGTAGCCAGTTACTTCTGAAGCATAACATACAAAGAGTCATCAATGGCAAAAGTGCACATAATAAAACTGGATAAAAACCTACAGCGCTGTATTAAAGGGAAGGCGGCAGAATGACATGATATAAAAACAGCAGCAATATAAAGCAGTACCAATATGTAAAAACATTCAGAAGTTTTTAAAATATCGAGAATAAAATCTTCAATCAGATGCCAAAAAAGACTGTTATGAACATACCACAAGAGCTACTTGGAGGCAGGCAGTTTAAAAATTTGGTGCCGTCACATAAAAATTGCCTCTCCTTTTACCATTACTACTTTGTAGTCCTCAACCTATGACCAAAATTGAGCCCAACGTTTCTGTTGTTAAGTGAGACGTTTGTTAAGTGAGCTTTGCCCCCTTTTTACGACCTGTCATGCCACAGCTGTTAAGTGAATCACTGCCCTTGTTAAGTTAGTAACCCGGTTGTTAAGTGACTCTGGCTTCCCCCATTGACTTTGCTTGTCAAAAGGTCACAAAAGCGAATCGCGTGACCCCAGGACACTGCAACCGTCATAAATATGAGTCAGTTGCCAAGCATCTCCTTTTTGCATTAGCCTTATATATACAAAATACAGAATTAGTTAACAGTCTCCTGGCACAGCTATTTCTTTATACTTGGCTGAGAATTCTTGACAGTTGAAATCCCAACCCTTCTGGAAAACATCCACCTGAAGAACGCTACCTTAGCTGAAATAATATAAAGTTTAATAAAGCAAAAGACCTGAATCCACAGCTAAAATAAGTCAGTTATACATATGGCCACCTCCAGCTCTGCAATGGATTACTCACCCTGCAATAGCGGTTGTGAGTCTGTGTCACAATCATCAAGGAGTTTAGCAGAGTCACAGTCTCTTACTGAGTACAAAGACAAGGTGTCCAGGTTGTCTTCCAATGAATCGCTGTTTATGTTTGTCGTTGAAAGGCTGGGATCCACATCCAGATTGTTCAGTCCAGCATAAATCATGTCTCTCATATCTGGACAAAGATCATGGCTGAATGTATCGCTACAGTCCAAAGCCTGGTTCCCAGAAAATTCAGGAAGCTGAATTTCAGAATGGAGTGAGCTGTCATCACTGAGATGATACTGGTCCATATTTAATCTGTGTTTGAAGTTATTTCCTAAACGCACACACACAGACACACAAGAAGAAGTAATGGGGCTATCTCTTCAGTCAGCAATGTCTAAGGAATTCAATAACGGATAATGAAATTCTATTAAGCAGAGCTATTCAAAACGGTTTCTGCTGAGGAAAACCTAAAACTTCTGCGCAAGTATTTGATCCCTTTGTTTCTTAAGCCAAATCAGCTTTGTCCCTTTTACTGTAGCTCTTTTTGTTGCAGCTTTCCATGTTTGTTGTGATTTTATGAAGAGTATATACATTTTGGCATACTCTCTTATTTTTCATTATGATACTCTTCTTTTATTGCTTTGTGCAACACTCTGGGTACTTTTAGCAAAAGCAGTATATTAAAAGTATTGGTTTTTAATGCCTGTGTGCGATTATTTTGTCTCTAAAACAGTACTCTTAATTTAGCAACGGGGCATATATATTGCAAAATTACACATGAAGATTCATGTTTGCTGATTCAGTATTTTCCTTTTATAAATCCTTTAATTAAATATTTGCTTAGAGGTGCCATTCACCAGCAATAAAGCTAAAATCATCAGCACTTATTTTTGTCTTATATAATAGTGAAAACAAGCAGCAAAATTTCAGTATCAGTATTTTACCTTTTGGGAAAATCCTGGAAAAGGAGTGTCCTTAAAATAAAGAAAAATAAAGGGAATTTTAACTCACATTCACTCATAAGTACATTCAGTATTTAATCTGAAGTTCTGATCACTTTAGCTATATCCAAGCATATTGTATACTAGCATTTAAAAAAAACACCTGTTCATATAATGCATCATCTATAAAACACACTTCATTTTATTGTTATACAATCATTACCACTAGGAAAACTGGAATGGGATAATTCTAAACAACGGAGGAGGGAGGGAATGAGGAATTCATTAGATAGTCAAGATAATCAGTGAAAAAACGTTTATCTCATGTGAAATTTAGGGGTTTTTTAAATTTTGGGTAATTTATATGGCTGCCCATACAAATAATAGTCATAGCACTGATTATTTCAAGTAATGTTAATGCAAATAAACTTTTTTTTTTGCATTGTGGTTTTGGTATGCTAACAATGTCCTAAGTTAGTATACCATATATATGCCTGTGCAAATATAATCATTCATTTGCTGATGTGCAAGTTTGTTCAAAAACATCACTTAAACAGCAGGAAGATTAATCAACCAAAGTCTTTCAATTATCTGTCGTTCAAGATGCTCAATATTCACTTGCAGCATATTGATTTTTCAGGATAGTTTTTTTTTTAAAGTACTGCTGGTCTGAACTCCTGATAAAAATAAAGCAGATGTTTAAAGGAAATTATGCCATTTTGTGAGCTGTCCCCCCAAAAAAATCTGATTAAAGAAAAAAAAAAAAAGGAAAACTGCAGAATTTGATAAAAAGCGGGGCGGCAGAAAAGTGGTTTTAAAAGATGAGGCAACAGGATTTGAATTTCTCCCAGAGCTGTTTAGAAGGAAGACCAGCAGCCACCAACAGAAAAGATCTTCCATTTCATCCACATTCTATTTCTTGGCCATCAGATATTCCCCCCCTTTTTTTTCCCCCTCCAACTTTGCTCCTGGTTTGATTCAGAAAAATTTTAACCAACCAGGAATGCTGATATCAAGGGGGTCCTGCTAGGCTTTTAAAGAGCCCACAATTCAGATTGGGGTTCTAACTTTTCAGAAAGTTATTTTCTTATAGATATAGATATAAGATTTTCTTATATATATATATGGGATCTCCAAAAGGGTTTTCCTTTCCCTTCCAGGCCAACTCAAAGCACATTTTCACACCCTCACCAACCTGGCAATCTCACAACGCCAACCGGGTGGGGGGGATTTCCCACTCCCCCCCCCTCAGAGGCCCAAAGCCCCCCTTATCTGAATTGCAGGGGGAGGGGGGGCAGCAAAGCCCAGCCTGTGCAATGCCTGCAGGCCTTCTCCTCCTGCTGGGGGGAGCCTAGAAACAGACTTTTGCACCCAGCCCAGGAGAAACCCCCCTTCCTTCTTGGGGAGGGGGGGCGCGTGGGGGGGGCAGGCCTCTTACCACAGGCCCAAAGGGAGCCTCTTTGGTTTGCTTCTCGAGTGGGGACACCCCCCCCCAGGCTGGGCCCCTGACAGGAAGAAAAGGGGGGGGGAGGCTTGGAAGGACTACAAAGCCCCTTCCTCTTTCCTGCTGGGAAATGGGGACGTTGTTGCACGCACAGGCGGGGGGGAGAGGCAGAGAGGGCTGTTCCCACAAGGGGGGGGTTTCCCCTGAAGAGACGCGGGGAGGGGCGGGGCGGTTGCAGCTGCACCTGAAGGGGGAGGAGCCGAAGTTTGGAAACGGAGGGAGGGGGGAGGAGGGAGAGGATCCAAAGTGGGACCGCCCCTTTCTGAGGAGGCGGGGGCGAAAGGAGAGCGCGCGGGGCGGAGAGATCAAGGGCAAGCCGGGCGGAGCCGGCGAACCAAACCCAGCGACTGGCTTTACCCGTCGCCTCGCGCCGGCCCCTCCCTCTCTCTCTTTTTTTTTTCCTGACGTCATCGTTCTTCTCTTCGGCAGGCTGGGCAAGGGCGGCGCTCCGGCCCCGCCCCCTTCGCCCGCCCGCCCGCGGACGGCGACGCGCCGCCCACGCGCCGGGAAGGAAGGGAAGAGGGCGGGGCTGAAAGGGGCGGGGCTCTAGGGAGGAGCGACTTTTTTTTTGTCTTTTCCCCCCCCTCCCTCCTTCAACTCTTTTTTGGGCGGGAAAACCTGGGAAGAGGCGCCGCCATTTTGGGAGGAGGGATGGAGGGGGCGGGAAAGGCGCGAAAGCCGAAGCGAGGGGCTGCTTGAGGGGAGCCGGGCGTGAGGGGGGAGGGATAAAGAAAGGCACGGTGGGGAGGGTGTCTTCCCACGACGGTTCGGCGGGTGCGACCTTCATTCGTGAGGCGCCGAACCCTCCCTCAGTCCCAGAAGGCGAGGTTGCCGAATTAGTTAAAAATCAGGCCGGCTGAGAGTCCCTTTTTTTGATAGTTCTATATGGCACCCCGCAAGCAGCCCAAATAGGATTCGGGGTGATGGCCCAGCACACGTGTGAACGGGGCCTGTTTGGGTCTGGGTTTCCTTTGTGGTACGAACCCCAAGCGCCATTGAGGGGCGGGAGGGAGGATATTCTATTATGAACCCACTTATTTTAAAACTGTAACCTATAACTTACATATAATTGCTTAAATTCCTCAAACTTTACAAAATTAACTCCATTGTATGTGCACCTTAGTATTATTATGTGCTTCTGTATAATTTTATTACTGTTGTCCATGTGCTCTCTCTATGCCATATGCTAAATAAATGAGGGTTTTGTAGCTCTAGCTGAAAGCCGTCCCCATTTTGTGGTCATACTGACTGAATTTTAGGGATTGTGCCTTATTTATATCTTGCCTTTATTATTATTATTATTTATAACTCAAGGTAACACAGTACAGGTAGTCCTCAAATTACAATAATTCATTTAGTGACTGTTTGAAGTTACAGTGGCATTGGAAAAAAAAGTGACTTATGACTGGTTTTCACATTTATGACCGTCGCAGCATCCCCATGGTTATGTGATTAAAATTCAGACATTTGGCTACTGATTCATTTATGACGGTTGCAGCGTCATGTGATGATGCCCTTTTTGCCTCCTGATAAGCAAAGGCAATGAGGAAGCCAGATTCGCTAACAACTGTGTTACTAACCTAACAATTGCAATGATTCACTTAACAACTATGGCAAGAAAGGTCATAAAGTGGAGCAAAAGTCACTTAACAAATTTTTTGCTTAGCAACAAAAATTTTGGGCTCAATTGTGGTTGTAAGTTGACTACCTGTACTCCCTATTTTCCCCACAACCCTGTGAGATAGGTCAGGCTGAAGGAGAGGGACTGGCCCAAAGAACACACAATCTCCTGGCTTCTAGCCTGGCACCTTAACCTGGCACCAAACTAGCTTTTATTAGTAATACAAATTTCTGTGCCAAGATTCATTGAACTAAGGGAAATTTTTTATTATTTCATTTTTAAATGGTTTAAAAATCCTAGAGACAGAATACTAAAACACTTTTAAAATATTTCAGCAGTTAAAAGAAGAATCTATTCACCTTCCAAAGCTATAATAAAAAGAACCAGGAATTTAAAATTCTATGCTAAAGGGAATTGTTGCACTACCCTGGAATTGTAATTTTTTTAAAAATAGAATTGATGGGTACAGAAGATGCTCTAAAATGTATTGTGGCTGTATCAAGTATTTTATTAAAATCACTCCTTTTATCTTTCCTTCTAGGAGTAAGAACCTAATTCATTAGCCTGTGGTTGTTCCTTCATGCCATCTTAAATATGTTTCATGAAATCAACTTTGTTATATTTTCCCTCTTTCCCCATCTCCCTTCTGCTCCTTAACATTCCTGCCAGATAGAAAAAATCTGGGAATGTCAAAATCTTACCCAAATTTTTGCCCATGTTTGCTTGGTCCCTGTAAAGTATTGCTTGTGGCTTCCTTCTCAAACCAGTATAATTTCTATTTGATTTGCACTAAAAAGTTGGGAAGGTCTGAAAACACATCAAAGGTGTAATTAAACACCAATTAAAACACATATCAATAAAAACTATCCACAATAAGTCAAGATAGCAGAGACAATTGTACAACCTTCAACTTACAATTGGTTGCTTGGTGACCAAAATGAAGATGGACCTCCCAAAAGGGTTTTTCCCCCCTATCTGTACTAGTTTCCTGAAAGCGCAAGGTCTTTTTTTCCAGATCAAGTGTTGATCCATTGGTTGCAACAGGAATTGACCGACCCACCTCTTTGGGAGGAAAGCCTGAATCTGAAGCAAGGAGAGTCTCTTCTATTAGAAAGATCTGCAGACCCACAACATATGTAAGTAAAGATCATAATGTGTGAATGCACTCCTATTAACAGACTGAACAATACTGTGTGCAGTTAAAAAATGTTATAGTCTTCTTATGTCCGCCAGTGTGTT